GGGCCCCCCCCATTAACCTGGGAGTCAGGGGGCCCCCCATCAACCTGAGACCCAGGGGCCCCCATCAGCCTGGGTCCCAGGGGCCCCCCATTAACCTGGGACCCAGGGGACCCCCCATCAGCCTGGGTCCCAGGGGCCCCCCATTAACCTGAGACCCAGGGGCCCCCATTAACCTGGGACCCAGGGGACCCCCCATCAGCCTGGGACCCAGGGGCCCCCCATTAACCTGGGACCCAGGGGACCCCCCCTTCACCATGTCAAGCGCGGCGAGCTCCCCGCTCTGGAGAAAGAAGGGGCCTTGGGGCACCCCAGAGACGGACACAAGGACGGGAGCAGAGGCCTCCGTGAGCGGCAGCCCCGCCTGGGACGGGGGACGGGGCAGGGGGAGCAGAGGGGGCAGATCCCTGAAGGGGGAAGGAGGGAAATGAAGGTGGGAGGCGGATAGGAACTGGGAAGGGACCATGGGGCAGGACAGGTGTCGACGTATGGACAGACAGACAGGGGTGTGTGCGGCGGGGGGGGGGGTGGGTTAGAGAGCGATCGGGATAGGGGGCAAATGGAGGGAGGGAAACAGGGCTGTGGGGGGAAGGACGGATGGGCGGAGGGGGGATGGAGGGATGGAGGGAGGGATACAGGGCTGTGGGGGGAAGGACGGATGGGCGGAGGGGGGATGGAGGGATGGAGGGAGGGATACAGGGCTGTGGAGGGATGGAGGGAGGGATACAGGGCTGTGGGGGGAAGGACGGATGGGCGGAGGGGGGATGGAGGGATGGAGGGAGGTATACAGGGCCCTGTGGGGATGGAGGGATGGAGGGAGGGATACAGGGCTGTGGGGGGAAGGACAGATGGGCGGAGGGGGGATGGAGGGATGGAGGGAAGGAGACAGGGCTGTGGGGGGATGGACGGATGGGCGGAGTGGGGATGGAGGGAAGGATACAGGCCTGTGGGGGGATGTAGGGATGGATACAGGGTTGTGGTGGATGGAGGGATGGAGGAAGAGATACAGGGCTGTGGGGGGATGGAGGGAGGGATACAGGGCTGTGGAGGGAAGGACGGATGGGCGGAGGGGGGATGGAGGGAGGGATACAGGGTTGTGCGGGATGGAGGGAGAGATACAGGGCTGTGGGGGGATGGAGGGAGGGATACAGGGCTGTGGAGGGAAGGACGGATGGGCGGAGGGGGGATGGAGGGAGGGATACAGGGCTGTGGGGGGATGGAGGGAAGGAGACAGGGCTGTGGGGGGATGGAGGGATGGAGGGAGGGATACAGGGCTGTGGAGGGAAGGATGGATGGGCAGAGGGGGGATGGAGGGTTGGAGGGAAGGATACAGGCCTTTGGGGGGATGGATTCAGGGTTGTGGGGGATGGAGGGAGAGATACAGGGCTATGGGGGGATGGAGGGAGGGATACAGGGTTGTGGGGGGTGGTGGGATGGAGGGAGGGATACAGGGTTGTGGGGGATGGAGGGAGGGATGGGCGGAGGGGGGATGGAGGGATGGAGGGAAGGAGACAGGGCTGTGGGGGGATGGACGGATGGGCGGAGTGGGGATGGAGGGAAGGATACAGGCCTGTGGGGGGATGTAGGGATGGATACAGGGTTGTGGTGGATGGAGGGATGGAGGAAGAGATACAGGGCTGTGGGGGGATGGAGGGAGGGATACAGGGCTGTGGAGGGAAGGACGGATGGGCGGAGGGGGGATGGAGGGAGGGATACAGGGCTGTGGGGGGATGGAGGGAAGGAGACAGGGCTGTGGGGGGATGGAGGGATGGAGGGAGGGATACAGGGCTGTGGAGGGAAGGATGGATGGGCAGAGGGGGGATGGAGGGTTGGAGGGAAGGATACAGGCCTTTGGGGGGATGGAGGGATGGATTCAGGGTTGTGGGGGATGGAGGGAGAGATACAGGGCTATGGGGGGATGGAGGGAAGGATACAGGGCTGTGGGGGGATGGAGGGATGGAGGGTGGGATACAGGGTTGTGGGGGATGGCGGGATGGAGGGAGGGATACAGGGCTGTGGGGAGATGGGGGGATGGAGGGATGGAGGGATGGAGGGAGGGATACAGGCCTGTGGGGGGATGGAGGGATGGATACAGGGTTGTGCGGGATGGAGGGAGAGATACAGGGCTGTGGGGGGAAGGACGGATGGGCGGAGGGGGGATGGAGGGAGGGATACAGGGCTGTGGGGGGATGGAGGGAAGGAGACAGGGCTGTGGGGGGATGGAGGGAGGGATACAGGACTGTGGGGGGAAAGACGGATGGGCGGAGGGGGGATGGATACCAGGGTCGGGCTGAGCCGTCCATGGCTCCAGGCCGTCTCCTGGCACCGGGCTCTGTGGGTCCTGGGGCCGGAGCTGGGTTCTCCCAGCCTGGGGCGCAGGCGGGGCCGGGGCCGGAGCCGCCCGGCTGAGCAGCCGTGGGGCTGGGCGGGGGGCGCTGTTCCCTGGCAGGCAGGGACGGGCTGTGAGGAGTGGGATGGGGGCTCTGTGGGGGGCTCTGTAGGGGGTTCCGTGGGGGGCTCCCTGGGGTGGGGGGCTTGGGGAGGCACTGTGGGGCGGGGGGCTCGGGGGCGGTCTCTCTCTCTTTCTTCTGGTCCCAAACCCCGGCACCCGGCTCCATCTGCCCTTCGCGCTGGTTGCAATTTCGATGCTCGGTTCCCCCATCCCAGCGCCCAGGCCCCCCATCCCCATCCCAGCGCCCAGGCCCCCCATCCTGGAAAAGTGGGGGGGCTGGATGCCATCCATGGAGACCTGCCCCAGCCAGCCTGGCCCGCCCTGGGGCCGGGAGGGAGCCGCGACCCCCCAGAGAGGCCAGGCCCCTGCCCCACTCCCTGCCCCCCAAGCCGGCCAGTCCCACCCTGGGTCCAGGGGGGGAGGCATGCCCCGCAGAGGGGCCAGGCCCCTGCCCCCTCCCGCAGACCCGGCCACGCCATGCAGGGGCGCAACAGAATCCGACGCTAAATAACTTTTATTCGCCGCTGTTCTCGGCGTGTCTCTTGCACACTTTACACACACACAGTCACTACCGCCGGGGGGGGGGGCTCGCAGCTCGGGGTGCCGGGGGGGTGAACTCTGAGGATGGCAGGGAGGTGCTGGGCACCCCGTCCCACAGGTACCCGGCCGTCCGGACCCCATCCTGGGGGGCGCCCCCTCTCCACGGCCCGGCAGGCCCTAGCCACCGCTGCCCCAGCCCGAGGGAATCGGGCCTTGACATGGCTGGATCAGGGCCCCAGCTGGAAGAAGGGAAAACCCAGGAGGCCGAAAGTTGGTGCAAAGCAGGAAGTTTCCTGTCCCCGCGGGTCTTTGAAGAAGCAGGGCTGTAAATCCGCCCCCCCCAGCAACAGCTGCCCCCCATGAGTTCCACGGCCACCCCCGTGGGGGCCATTCGGGGCGGGGGGCCAGCGGTGCTCTGCTCTCACAGGGGGCTTGCGAGGTGAGCGCTGCGGAATCGCACGGGAAACGTTTGCACTAATTCGTGCAGAACGGAGCGAGCTTTGTGTGCAGAGGGTTTGCCACATGGGGGCCGGGGGATTCTTTTGCACCAGCTTTGCACGATCTCCTCTTGTCTTTTCCACGTTTTTGCCTTTGCCAGATTTTCACAAGCCGCTTTGCGCATTTTGCACGATCGGCGGCCCTGTTTTCTGCAATATTTTCAGTGACCGTTTGCGACGTTTGGGCCAGAATTTGCCATTATGTTTCTTGTCAATGGTTACAGGCTGGTTTTAATATTTATTTCATCAGCTGTTTTCCGGTTTCTTCATGACTTTTGGGGGTGCCATTTTGTGCAGATCTTTGAGAGTTGGTGCAAGTTTGAAAATATTTTTAAAACCAATGTTTGCCCTTTTCTCTGTGACGTTCTTGGGTTTTATCGCCAAGTTGTCACTGGTTTGCAAAACTGTCGAGCATTTTCACACACATGCATTCACTGCATTCAAGACTTTCTTCAAGCCATTTGCCATTTCCTGCGTGACAGCGTGAGCCATTCCCCCTTTCTCATCCAAATTTCTACGTTTTCTTTTGCAATTTTTCCAATGACTTTTTTGCAAAATACTTTTGTACTTTACTGCAAAATTTAATTTTTCGGAGGTAAAATTTTCTTGGATTTTCACTCACAATTACGGGGGGTTGGTCTGGGTCTTGTAGCGAAGCTCATGCATGTGTACGCAAATGTCCGATGCACTTTTTGCACTTTTCTTCCTGACTTTCCTTTTTTTCAATCTTTTCATGCAAACGTGGCAGGACCTCTTTTGCAAAATTGTTACAATTTCCTCCATGACGCTTTTAGGGCAAAATATTCATGCAAATGTGTGTCCCCAAAATGTGCAATATTCTCCGTGGCTTTGGCGTGCCAATTTCCTGGCCGCTTTTCGGCAATTTGCAAGGAAGTCAGCCAGGAAAATTCCCCTGCAGGCTGGTGAAGGGCTTTGGGTTTTGTTGCCACAATTGTGACAAATTTTCTCCATTTTTCACTCTCCATTTTCTCCCTGATGGTTTCAAGATTTTCTTTGTCAATTGGTTTGCAATTCTCTTGCAAGATTTTGTCACCTGCGGGGGCCTTCCCCTGCCCCCGCCCAAGTTGCAAAATTGTAACTGGTTTGGGGCCAAACCCTCAACCTTCCCATCCCGTTTGCATGACTTGGGGGGCAAGCGGTCCCGGGGGTGCTTGGGGCGGGGGGAGTTGGGGAACTTTCCAAGGATTGGCAGTAAGATCCCAGTGGCCCCGATCCTGCCACGCTTTGAAACTACATGGCCGGGTCCCCACCTGCCCCCCAGCCCTCCGTGGGTTACCGAGTCGATGCCAACGGGACAATGCAGAGCCGCTGTGGGGGGGAGCTGAGTTAGAGCCGCTCCCCGTGGCACGGAGCCCCCCAGCATGGCAGGTAATGGGGCCACAGTGCTGGACCCAACAGGCCTCTGGTTTCCCCACTCCCTGCACCCCCAGGCCCCCTGCTGCCCCCTTCTATTCCCCCTACAGCTCCCCCAGCCCCCCTCCCCACTGCACCCCCACCCTGTCCCCCTCCCCAGCCCCCTTATTTCTTGTAGTTGCCGAACTGGAGGGCCAGGCGGCCGGTGACGCAGCGGAAGGTGGCCGGCTGCACCTCCCAGTAGGGGACCGGGTTCCCGAAGAGGCTGATTCCACTGTAATAGGCTCGCTTCACCCCGAACCCCACGGGGCAGAAATCGTTCACCCCCACCTGCGTGATGTCATTGGCGTGCAGGTATACCACCTGAAGGGAGGGGAGACGGGGGGGTCAGGCAGCACCCCCAGGCCCCCCACCCATCACCCCCCCAGACTCCCTATCACAGCCCCCAGACCCCCATCATACCCCCAAACCCCAATCACAGCCCCCCAGCACCCCCGTCTCATCACAGACCCACAGACCCCCATCACATCCCCCCAGAGCCCCCATCACAGCCCCCCAGCACCCCTGTCTCATCACAGACCCCCATCACAGCCCCCCAGAACACCCCAACCCTCCCAGCCCTACTCCCCAGAACCCCCAGCCCCCTCAACCCCTCACAACCCCTCAGATTCCCCCCACAGCCCCCCAAAACCACAGAGCCCCCCCCATAAACCCTCTAATGCCCACCTGGGGCAAGGGATAGTGGGGGCTGAATAGGAGAGTTTAGCCAGCCCCCCTCAGAGCCCCCAAACCCCCCATCAGAGGGAGCGAGAAGGGGTTCATGGGGGGGCTCCCCCAGGCTTGTGGGAAGGGAGAGGGAGATTTTCCCATAAGCCCCTCTGCCCCCCGTGTCGTTCCCACCTGCAGGAAGCGGAGGCCGGGCAGCCCGGGGGGCACGCGGGAGAGCCGGTTGTGGTCAAGGTGCAGCTCCCGGAGCGCCGGGACGAAGGTCAGGCTCCTATTCTCGATCATCCGCATGGCATTGTGCCCCAGGCCCAGCCTGCGGGAGAGTGGGGCATGGACGGACGGACGGACGGAGCGGGGGGTGCCTGCGGGCTGGGGGCTGGGCAGAGGGGTGGGGTATCTACGGGGTGGGCAGAGGGGGTGGGGTACCTGGGATGTGGGGGGTCGGGTGGACGCAGACGAGTCACCTCACTTCATGCCGTGGGGCTCTGTGGCTCCCTCTAATGACTGGACCATGTGAAGTTACCTGGCCAGCTTCCCGTAGCGGATCGGGGGGGGCCGGGGGCCGTTGGGGGGCTGGGGGCAGTTACCTGGCCAGCTTCCTGTAGCAGACTTGGGGGGCCGTGGGCCGTTGGGGGGCTGGGGGCAGTTACCTGGCCAGCTTCTCGTAGCGGATCGGGGGGCCGGGACAGTTGGGGGGCTGGGGCCGTTGGGCCGGGGCCGTTACCTGGCCAGCTTCCCGTAGCGGATCAGGTCTTCCTGCTCAATGGCCTGGATTTTGTTGTGGTCCAGATGCAGCTCGTTCAGGGTCTCGGGCAGGTCTGGGGGGCAGAGAAGGGGATCAGGGGCTGGGAGCCGGGGCAGGTGACGTGCACGGCCGACTCAGGAGGATCCCAAGGGTGGGGGAGTGGGGGGAGCTGGGTTCGATCGGGGGGGATTGCTGGGGGGCCACGGTGCAGGGGGGCTCCGAGGCCCTGATCTCCAGCTCTCCCCACCCCCCAGGCAGAGTGGTGAGGGGCCTCAGCACTCCGGGGAGTGGGGGGTCCCGGCCAGAGTGGGGTGTCTCTGGACCGCGGAGTGGGGGGTCCCAGCCATGGAGGGGGCGGCACAGGGGGTCCCCAGACACCATGGGGCCAGCCAGCGGGCTGGGGGGGCTGTGGGGCAGATGGGGGGCTGGGAGGGGCTGGGGGGCCGTGTGGAGGGCTGGGGGGGTCACCTTTGGGGATCCCCGTCAGCTTGGCCTCTGAGATGCGCAGGTAATTCAGCTTCAGGCCGTCGAAGGCGCCGGGTTCGAATCCGCTGTTCTCCAAGGGGTTGCCCCCCATCTCTGGGGGCAGAGAGACCGGAATCACTCACAGCTCATCCAGCCCGGGGGAACTCTCCCCCCATGGTCAGGGCCAGGTGCTGGGGGGCACCAGGGGGTGGGCAGTGGGGCAGGGGGCGCTCTCCCCAGGCTGTCGGGGCGGGCGCTGGGGGGATGGGCAGCAGGGCAGAGGGTGCTGGCGATCAGGATTGGGCCCCTGGGGGGCTGGCAGGCGGGATGCTGGCGCGATGGACCCATGGGGGGCTGGGAGGCAGGATGCCAGGCTGATGGGCACATGAGGGGGCGGGATGCTGGGGTAGCTGGGCCCCTGGCAGGATGGTGGGGTGACAGGCCCATGGGGGGCTGGCAGGCAGGATGCTGGGGCGATGGGCTGGGAGGCGGGATGCTGGGATAGATGAGCTGGCACGTGGGATGCCAGGGGATGGGCCGCTAGCAGGCGGGATGCCAGGGTGATGGGCTGGGAGGTGGGATGCCGGGGTAGATGGGCCCCTGGCAGGCAGGATGCCAGGGTAGATGAGCTGGGAGGTGGGATGCCAGGGTGATGGGCTGGCAGGCGGGATGCCGGGGTAGATGGGCCCCTGGCAGGCGGGATGCCGGGGCGATGGGCTGGCAGGCGGGATGCCGGGGTAGATGGACCCCTGGCAGGCCGGAGGTTGGGGCGATGGGCTGGCAGGCGGGATGCCGGGGTAGATGGGCCCCGGCAGGCGGGATGCCGGGGCGATGGGCTGGCAGGCGGGATGCCGGGGTAGATGGGCCCCGGGCAGCCCGGAGGTCGGGGCGATGGGCTGGCAGGCGGGATGCCGGGGTAGATGGGCCCCGGGCAGCCCGGAGGTCGGGGCGATGGGCTGGCAGGTGGGATGCCGGGGTAGATGGGCCCCGGCAGGCGGGATGCCGGGGCGATGGGCTGGCAGGTGGGATGCCGGGGTAGATGGGCTGGCAGGTGGGATGCCGGGGTAGATGGGCCCCGGGCAGCCCGGAGGTCGGGGCGATGGGCTGGCAGGCGGGATGCCGGGGTAGATGGGCCCTGGCAGGCGGGATGCCGGGGCGATGGGCTGGCAGGTGGGATGCCGGGGTAGATGGGCCCCGGCAGGCCGGAGGTCGGGGCGATGGGCCCGGCAGCCCCGTCTCACCGATGCAGTTCATGTTGTTGAGCCCCTTGAAGACGTCCTTGGGCACCTTGCGGATCTTGTTGTCGTGGATGCGCAGCTCGACCAGGGAGGGCGGCAGGTTGGGCGGGATCTCGGCCAGCTGGTTCTTGGAGATGTAGAGCTTCTGCAGCCGGTGCAGGGGGCTGAAGGCCTTTTCGTGCACCCGCGAGATCTTGTTGTTCACCAGCACCAGGGCCTGCGGGTGGAGGCGCACAAGGGTGACCAAGCCAGCAGGGGCTGCAGTACCAGCCTCTCCCAGCAGGGGGTGCTGCGAGAGTCACAGAGTGCTGGGGGGGGGCGGGGCAGGGGTACGCTGTCGATGCCAGGGGGCGCTGCGGGGCAGGGCTGGGCCGGGGGGCTGCGGGGCCGGGCCAGGCCGTGTGGACAGGGGGGCGCTGTGGGGCAGGGCCGGGCTGTGGGGGCAGAGGGGGCGCTGCGGGGCCGGGCCGGGGGAGGCGGGGGGGCTGTGGGGCAGGGCCGGGCCGGGCGGGGGGGCTGGGGGCGGGGCTGGGCCGGGGGGGGCAGGGCGGGTGGGGAGGGGGGGTGTGTGGGGAGGGCTGGGGTGGGGGCAGGGGGCGGGGGGGGCTGGGCGGGGGCGGGCAGGGCCGGGCCGTGGGGAGGCGGGGGGTGCTGTGGGGCAGGGCCGGGTGGGGGCAGGGGGGCTGTGGTGGGGTGGGGGGGGAGGGGGGCTGGGGCGGGGGGGGGGGGTTGAAGGGCCTGGGGCAGGGGGCGCTGGGGGCGGGGCTCCCCGTGGGGGCAGGGGGCGCTGTGGGCCGGGCTGGGCCGGGGGCGCTGCGGGGCAGGGCCGGGCCATGGGGGAGGGGGGGGCGCTGGGGGCCGGGCCGCCGTGGGGGGGCGTGGGCGGGGCCGGGGGCTGGGGGCAGGCCGGGCCGTGGGGAGGCGGGGGGCGCTGGGGGGCCGGGCCGTGGGGAGGCGGGGGGGCGCTGGGGGGCGGGCCGGGCCGTGGGGAGGTGGGGGGGCGGGGGGGCTGCGCCGGGCCGTGGGGAGGCGGGGGGCGCTGGGGGGGCCGGGCCGGGCCGTGGGGAGGCGGGGGGGCACTGGGGGCCGGGCGGCCGGGCCGGGCCGTGGGGAGGCGGGGGGGCACTGGGGGCCGGGCCGGGCCGGGCCGTGGGGAGGCGGGGGGGCGCTGGGGGGCCGGGCCGGGCCGGCTGGGGAGGCGGGGGGCACTGGGGGCCGGGCCGGGCCGTGGGGGAGGCGGGGGATCGCTGGGGGACCGGGCCGGGCCGTGGGGGAGGCGGGGGGGCGCTGGGGGGCCGCGCCGGGCCGTGGGGAGGCGGGGGGGCGCTGGGGGGCCGGGCTGGGCCGTGGGGACAGGGGGGGCGCTGGGGGGCCAGCCCGGCCGTGGGGAGGCGGGGGGGCGCTGGGGGGCCGGGCTGGGCCGGGGGGGCGCTGTGGGCCGGGGCTGGGCCGGGGGGGCTGCGGGGCAGGGCCGGGCCGTGGGGAGGCGGGGGGGCGCTGGGGGGCCGGACCGGGCCGTGGGGAGGCGGGGGGGCGCTGGGGGGCCGGGCCGTGGGGAGGCGGGGGATCGCTGGGGGGCCGCGCCGGGCCGTGGGGAGGCGGGGGGGCGCTGGGGGGCCGGGCCGTGGGGAGGCGGGGGGGCGCTGGGGGGCCGGGCCCCGGGGGACGCACGTAGAGTTCCTGCAGCCCCTCGAAGTCGCCGAGCCGCAGCTCCGTGAGCCGGTTGTTCTGCAGATCCAGCAGCCTCGTGTCGGGGGCGATGTCCTTGGGCACCGAGCTCAGGCCTGGGGGGAGACGGGGGGTGAGGCGGGTTCCCCCCGCGAACCGGGGCTCCGAGACGCCCCTGCAGGGGGGAGCCCCACCGTCCCTGTGCTGGCCCCGCTCCGCGCCCGGCGCTGGGGGGAGAACCCAGGAGTCCTCGCCCCGGGGGCCCCCCCACCCCTCCCCCCCCCAGCTGCGGGGCGGGAACCCCGGCGTCCGGCGTACCCAGGTCGGAGCACTGCACCACCCGCAGGTGGCAGCGGCAGCCGAAGGGGCACAGGCCCCCGTAGGCAGGGACGACGTCCTCGAAGTCGGGGGCCCCCGAGGTGGGGAAGACGCCCGAGGCCTCCTCCTCGTCCCGCTGCGCGGCCCCCTCGTCCATGGCGAAGTCCCAGAAGGCCGGCTGCTCGAAGGGCCGCGCCCGCGCCAGGCCCAGCAGGGCGGCCAGCAGCAGAGCGCGCAGCATGGCGGGGCTGGGGGCGAGAGGGGGCACGGGGTTAGGGGCGGCCTGGGCGCGGGGGCTGCTGATACGGGGCCCGGGCTGCGGCTGGCTCTGGGGTGGAGCAAGGGGCAGCCCCATGGGGCCCTGCGCCCAGCAGGCAAAGGGTCCCTGGGGTGAGCCGGGGCCAGGCCGCGACCCCACCGCTGCGGCTGGGAGAAAACAAGCTCCACAATGACAGGCCGGACTCCGGGGCCACAATTAGAGACTCCACAAGGGACCAGCCCTGAGCGCCGGGGTGGCTGGCACGGCTCTGAACAGCTGCCCACAGACCCCACTGCCAGGGGGAGAGATGGGGGGCCGGGGGGCGGCTGGCATGGCTCTGAACAGCCGCCCACAGACCCCACTGCCAGGGGAGAGATGGGGGGGGGGGGCGGCTGGCATGGCTCTGAACAGCTGCCCACAGACCCCACTGCCAGGGGGAGAGATGGGGGGGCGGGGGGCGGCTGGCATGGCTCTGAACAGCCGCCCACAGACCCCACTGCCAGGGGAGAGATGGGGGGCCGGGGGGCGGCTGGCACGGCTCTGAACAGCCGCCCACAGACCCCACTGCCAGGGGGAGAGATAGGAGGGGGGAATAGAGGGGGAGAAAGCTGGCTACAGGGGGTGCAGGGACCAGACCCCCCCCCCAAATCCTCACCCGCGGCCCCAGCACTGAGTCCCCCATCCTGGAGCCCAGTCAGCTCTGGGAGGGGAGGGGGTCTGGTGGGTCAGAGTGTGCGGAGGGCTGGTAGCCAGGACTTCTGGGTTCTGTCCTGAGAAGTGGGGTTCATCCCCCCACCATTCTGTGCCTCAGTTTCCCCCACCATCTGGGAGTGAGAGGGGGCTGTGTCTGGGCCGAGGGGAGGGGGCCGCTGGCCGGGCAGACGCCAGTGGGGAGCGGTTACCTTGGGAAGGGAGCCGGGCATGACGCCACTTGCCCATTGCCTCGCTTTTTCCATGCCCCCCCCGCCACCCGGCCGCGGCCACGGAGGGGTTCCCAGGCAGGGTTATGGGGGGGCACAGCCCCAGGAAGGCCAAAGGGCAAAGCAGAGACAGTGCCCCCTGCCGAGCCCCCCACAGCACGGCGCCCCCCACGCCCGGCTCTGGCTGCCGGGGAGAGCCTGGCTCCCTTCTGCCCAGGCCGAGCTCCCCACGGCTCTGGCTGTTTGTTGGCTTTGACTCGGTGCAGGGGCTGGGGGGGACTCAACTCACGTTCCATGGGGCAGCAGAGGGGAGCGGGGGGCAGGAGGCACGATTCAGGCCCAGCCCCAGAGCGCAGCAATCGGGGCAGGGCCCGGTTCAGAGTTCAGCTCCCCCAGGGCCAATCCGGAGTCACTCCTGATTGCGCTGGGGGCAGGACCGGTTCTGCTGCTCTGTATGTCCGGAGGATCCTGTCCCAGTCCAGCAGCTCGGGCCAGGACTCAGCCCCGGCACCAGCTCCAGCTCCGGGGATGCAGCCAGCAATTACAGCCGGCTGCTGTCCCCGGCCAAACCCATGCGGCCCCCCCAGCTCCATGGCCCCCCCCGGTGCCCACAATAGAGCCTTTGTCCCCGCAGCCGAGGCGTGTTTGCGCTCAGCGGCCGGAGCGGAATAAGGGGGTCACGCCTAGGGGTTTGGAACCGGCGTGGGGCTGGGGCCGAGCCAGGGACTGGGCTGGGCCCGGCAGACCACAGAGTTACTGCCACGGGGCAGGGGGGGAGGCGGGGGAGACGGGGCCTGTGCCCACGGGGGGGCGCTGGCTCCCATCCAGCCCCAGGGTCGCGGTCTGGGAGGGTCACTCAACTGACTGCAGGGGGTCAAGGCTGGATCCTGATTTCAATAACAGAACCCAGGTGTCCGGGCTCCCAGCCCCTTGCTCTGACCCACCAGACCCCCCTCCCCTCCCAGATCCGGGGAGAGAACCCAGGAGTCCTGGCCTCCCACCTCTAACCACCAGCCCCCACTCCCCTCCCAGAGCTGGGGAGAGAACCCAGGCGTCCTGGCTCCCAGCCCCCCTTGCTCTAACCCACCAGCCCCCACTCCCCTCCCAGAGCTGGGGAGAGAACCCAGGAGTCCTGGCTCCCCCCTGCTCTAACCACCAGCCCCCACTCCCCTCCCAGAGCTGGGGAGAGAACCCAGGCTTCCTGGCTCCCAGCCCCCCCGCCCGACTGAGATCAGGGCCCCGTTGTGCAGGGCGCTGCATCGACCCCCAGGGGAGACATCCCCATCCTGAGAGCTGAACGGGCAAACGCAGGGTCATTGTCCGCAGTTCCCAGCTGCAAGCACCATGTGACAGCACCAAGGAGCCTGGGCTGGCGCCGGGAAGGGAACCCAGGCGTCCTGGTCGGGCGTGGAGAACAGATTCATCCTGGGTTCGACTCCGGGTACAGGGCCAGGGCTGCCGGCCCAGCAGATGCCACCTCACCAGCCCTTCTGCCAAGGTCTCCTGGGGGCTGTCACTGGAGTGGGGCTCCATGGGCATGTCTATAGCCATTGGGAAAGGGATGGAGCAGCAGGGAACCCAGGAGTTCGGGAGTGCCCAGCACACGGGCTGCCTGGGAACACTCCTTAGCACAAGCCCTGCCAGGACTCCTGGGTTCTCCCTTGGCTCTGGGAGGGGAGGGCGGTCTAGTGGTCAGAGCAGGGGGGCTGGGAGCCAGGACTCCTGGGTTCTCTCCCCAGCTCTAAGATCTAGGAAGGGGGCTGACTCGGGCGCACACCGATCCTGTGGCTCGATTGGTTGGTCTCTGCTTGAAGCCAACCAAAGGGCTGCCAATGGAACCCAGGAGTCCTGGCTCCCCCACACCCCCTGCCCCACTCTAACCACGGGACCCCACTCTCGTGAGAGAACCAAGGCAGCCTGTGATTAAACCTTCCTCGCTGCCCCCCTGAAATGTCCCCTCCGGTGCCCCCAGCTCCGGGGGCCGGCAGGGGCACTTTCCTCTCAACCTGTGGCCACGCAGCCTCAGCACTCGCCACCTCCAGCCCCGGCGTCTCCGCTCCACCAGGCCTCTGCCAGCCGTTGGGTTCCCACGTGGCACCGTACCCTGATGCCACTGGGTGGTGGGTGGCCCAGGCAGCCCCCCTCTCCAGTAGCCAGGACTCCTGGGTTCTCTGTCCAGCTCTGGGAGGGGAGCGGGGTCTGGTGGTTAGAGCGGGGGGGCCTGGGAGCCAGGACTCCTGGTTTCTCTGCCCGGCTCTGGGAGGGGAGCGGCGTCTGGTGGTTAGAGCGGGGGGGCCTGGGAGCCAGGACTCCTGGGTTCTCTGCCCGGCTCTGGGAGGGGAGCGGCGTCTGGTGGTTAGAGCGGGGGGCCCTGGGAGCCAGGACTCCTGGGTTCTCTGCCCGGCTCTGGGAGGGGAGCGGGGTCTGGTGGTTAGAGCGGGAACCTGGGAGCCAGGACTCCTGGGTTCTGTGCTGCAGTGGGGTGACTCCGGATGACCAGCGCTGGATCTGGGATGTGATCCACCCTCTCCAGTCCAGAAAGCATCAGTCCAAGACAGCTTGTTTGCCGGCTGGGAATCCCTCCCGCTCGTTCCCCTGAGCGCCAGGGACAGAGGAAAAACCGACAGATCCTGTTTTCCATCCCCTCGGCGCCTGCCAAGACAAGCCAAGCTGGGAGCGCAGAACATGGGGCACAGAGGGGAACGTACAACCCCAAGGCAACAGTGCAAGAAGCCAGGAGTCCAGGGAGCTGCTCTGTGAGGGAATCGCCCCCCTGCACTGAGGCTACAGCCCCCACCCCACACCAAAAAAACAACAGAACCCAGGAAACCAATACCAGGGAATTTCCCCCCATGAATGGGGGCTGACGCCCCAGAAAAATAGAACCCAGGAGTCCTGGGACCTGATGCTGGAGGAATCTCTCCCACTGGATTGCGGCTGCCCCCCTGCCCCAATACAGAACCCAAAAGTCCGAGGAAGATGTCTGTTTTGGGACAGGTGAGGAGCCCCTACTCCACCCTCCCCAAAAAAATAGAACCCAGGAGTCCTGGAAGCTGATGCAGAGGGAATTCCCCCCCCCCACCATGGGAGATATGCCCCCCCTAGATCCCAGGAGTCCAGTGAGCTGATGTGGGGAGGTCTATCTGCTTTGGGAGTGCTCCGTGCCCCAAAAAGTCACTCCAGCTTGCTGGGTCCAAAGCCGCCCCTGTCAGCGCCAGAGCCCTACCTTCGGGGGGATTCAGGTGGGGAATGCGGCCGTTCCCGGGGGTGTCTGCTCGTCTCCCCTTCCCGCAGGCTGGGAGCAGGACAGGACAGGGCGGGCAGCGCTGTGGGTCTGGCTGGGTGGATTCACTCCCTGGGAGCTGGATGCCGGATGCGCACACACAAGCCAGGCCCACATCTGGATCCCATCAGCCACCTGCCAAAAAGCCAGAGGCCGGGAAAGTCAAACCCACACAGAGATGGGGGGGCGCTGTAGGGCAGGAGGAGCTGGGGGGATTCTAATCCCCATTTGGGGCAGCATGGGATCTATGGGAGGGGCAAAGAGCTGGGGGGGAGACCTTGTACAGATGCAGCTAGGGTGTCTGGGGGGGTAGGGATGGACAGAGGGGTAGACGGAGGGGGGGGTGTGTTTGATGAAGTGGGAACGTTCTCAATGTTTTCTCTGAATACTGGGTGGGTGCCTCAGTTTCCCCTATGCGTTTCTTAAGTATCTAGGTGGGGGAATAGAGGGCCCGTGTGATGCCGTCTGCACAGAGAATGGCTGACAGCCTGTCTCCTGGGCCCCCCTCTGCAAAGGTGCCGACTGAAGAGTGTGACAAAGTGCGAATGTTCTCTCTGAATGCTGGGTGGGTGCCTCAGTTTCCCTAGGCGTTTCTCAAGTATCCAGGTGGAGGATCAGGGGGGGTGATGGTCACAGAGCCCTGGGGCGCAGCGTGATGGGGTCTGCACAGAGGATGGCTGACACCCCGTCCCCTGCAAGGTGCCGACTGAAGGGGCTGGGGAACAAAGAGACCAGGTGGCTCCTGGGCCAGGAAAGGGTCAAAGGCCAGAGGAGGGAGAGAGAGTTTCAGTTTGGGGCTGGCTGGGGAAATGTGGGGAGGCCCAGACGGGGCTCTGGCCTCCCTGCCCCCCAAGACGGACCCGGCTGAGGGGTCCTGGTCTCTGCACCTACAAGCTCTGTGTTAGACCCTGTTCCTGTCGTCTAATAAACCTTCTGTTTCCCCAGCGGGCTGAGAGTCCCGTCTGGCTGCGGAGTTGGGGGGCAGGGCCCTCTGGGCCCCCCCAGGACCCCACCCGGGGGGAACGCGCTGCGGGAAGCGCACAGTGGGGCAGGGGAGCCTGGAGGCTTCGGGGCCAGACCCAGGACGGTGGAAGCTGGGGCAGCGTCTTGCCCTGGGGACAGTCGGTGCCGAGAGAGGAGGGTCCCCAGAGTCCTGCCCGGCTTCGCGGGGAGCAGGTCAGAGCATGGCCCAGGGACCCCGTGACAGGATGGAGAGACGGATGGATGGAGGGGCGGGGGATGGACAGACAGATGGAGGGGGTGACGATGAGAGGGGTTCTCTTGGTTTTGTCAGTGGTTTGCACGCCGAGGGGATGACTCAGTTTCCCTGGGTGTTACGGGTTTAACGAGGGGGTGGGAGAGAGGGTTTGTGGGGACACAGGGCCAGCAAGGGAACGTGGGACCCCCGGCCAATGGCCTGGGGAGTGGAGACCCCAGCGACTGGGGACCTGGAGCCTTAGCCGGGTCTGGCCGGGGGGGACAGTGGGCTGCGGAGGGAGGACCCCGGTGACCGGACCAGCCGGGTCCAGCCAGAGGGGCCAGAGGACAGAGGAGAGGGGGCCCCGGTGACCTGTTTACCTGGAGAGAAGACAATGGATGGGGGGGGGGGCTTGGGGGAGGTGGCATCAGATGCCCCGCTGGGAAGACCGGAGGGTGGGGGCTCAGAGAGGTGTGGCTCCAGGAGGTGGAGGGGCTGGACCCCCGAGAAGGGCTGTCACAGTGAAGGGGGTTCCCCCCAGGGACCATATGGGGCCGAGAGTCCGCACGACCTGTGAGTCCGTGTCAGAGGGGCAGGGGGATGGACAGACAGATGGAGGGGGTGGCTCCTGGAGGGGAGTGGAGGCTGGTGGTTAGAGCAGGGGGGGCTGGGAGCCAGGACTCCTGGGTTCTTTCCCCAGCTCTGGGAGGGGAGCAGGGGCTGGTGGTTAGAGCAGGGGGCTGGGAGCCAGGACTCCTGGGTTCTTTCCCCAGCTCTGGGAGGGGAGTGGGGCCTGGTGGGTTAGAGCAGGGGGCTGGGAGCCAGGACTCCTGGGTTCTCTCCCTGGCAGGGGTTGAGGGCTGTTTTGCTCCCGCCTAGTCCCGTGTCTTGTCCCGTGTCGCGCTCTCCGATCTGCCGGGCGTCTTCGGCTCCGGTCACGGGGGGCCGCGGGCTCAGCTGGCCAGGACAGGAATGCGGGGAGAGGATGTGAGGCCGGGGGAGCGAATTCCTGTGCTGATCTCCGGCCTGAGCCGGCGTCTGGCCTCAACGGATTTGCCCAGCCCCAGCTCGGGGTGGTGCGGGGGGAGCGGGGCCTAGTGCTGAGAGCAGAGGGGCTGGGAGCCAGGACTCCTGGGTTCTCTCCCAGCTTGGGGAGTGGGGGCTGGTGGTTAGAGGTGGCCTGAGCACCATCTCCACCCCCCCACCCTGGAGCTTTGGAGATAAGACACATTCCTCAAATACCAGCGGAGGGGGGACTCCCCCAGCCCCCTTCCCGCCTGACCCCCCCCTCAGCCCCTCACGGCAGGACCTGATGGGACTCACACCCAGATCCTTCCTCTGGGATAATCCCACTGTGCAGGGCAGCAGAATCCCCGGCTCCTCAGGCCCTGAGATGCAGCCCCCTCTGGGGTGGGGCGGGGTGGGGGGGCTGGTTATACAGGGACTCCCGGGAGTGCAGCCCCCTGCTGCTGATTGTGCCCCTACTCAGGCCCCCAGCTCTCTCTGGGGAGCATGTCCCCCTCCCCATGCTGTCCCTGCCCCCCACTTTCTGCTGACGGGGCCAGAGCCGGCAGGGGGGAACCAGCCCTTTATTCTGCCTGGGGGGCTTGGATCCCCTGGCCTTACGTAACCGCAATTGGGGGGCAGCTGGGCCCTGGATGCCAGCCTTGATCTGGGGTGGGATCCAGCCAAGCATGGGGCTCGTAGGGTAGACCATCCCTTGTGTGGCTCCCCCCACCTCTCCAGCCAGCTGCTCTGTCCCTCCCCTCAGCCCTGGGCTGCTCCCCCCGCATCCCTGCCCCCCAGCGGGACCCAGGCTGGCCGTGTTTTCACAGCTGCAGCCGGTACATGCCTTCCCCATCACATCAGCCCCCCATGCTCCACCCCCCTTCGCCCTCACCCGGGGCGGGGGCTGGTGGCACCCCCTAGGCAGGACCCCTTTGTCTCAGCCCAGCCCCCGGCTCCACCCCAGAGGGGCCACATCTCCACACTGGGACCCCAGATAACTGGCCCCATGCCCCACCCCATCAGACCAGGCCAGGGGGAGGCGATATGGCCTGGCCAGGGAGCTGACGACGCATCGAGTGTGCATGGCCTAGAGCCCAGCCCGGCTATATATAACCCTGGGCACGGCCAGCCGGGCCAGCCGCCACAAAGCCGCACCCACCCGCCGGGACGCTGGCAAAGCCAGGGGCGGGGCGGGGCCGGTTACTGGGGTCCCTTCACCAAGCACCAGGACACGGCCCCTCTGCGGTGGGGAGGGGGGTGGTTATCGGGGGACACCTCGCCCGGTGCCGGCATGTGGCTGGCTCTGGGGTGGGGCAGGTTATCCGGGGACCCACTCGCCCGGTGCCGACATGCGGCTGGCTCTGGGGTGGGGCAGGTTATCCGGGGACCCACTCGCCCGGTGCCGACATGCGGCTGGCTCTGGGGTGGGGCAGGTTAGCCGGGGACCCACTCGCCCGGTGCCGACATGCGGCTGGCTCTGGGGTGGGGCAGGTTATCCGGGGACCCACTCGCCCGGTGCCGACATGCGGCTGGCTCTATGGTGGGGCAGGTTATCTGGGGACCCCTCACCTGGCCCTGACTGCGAGGGGACAGTGCCCACCACCGAGCCGCCTGCTCCCCAGTGCCCCTCCCGTGCTCCCGGGCAGGCAGCGGTGGGGGCATCAGCCATCCTGGCGCTAATTTGCCTTGACAGGTCCCAGCACTGGTGCTGCGGCCACACCCGGGGGTGCCTGGGGGCTGGGCGCAGGCAGGTGATCCTAATGGGGGCAGACGGGGCAGGTCAGGGGCCCAGGGAGGGGGGATGTGCGAGCCTGGCCATGGGGAGAAGCGGGGGAGGCCCTCAGCAGTAGGGGTGGGAAGGGAGTGCAAGCTCCCCTCCATCCCCCCAGCTCCTCCCATCCCCCCAGTTCCAGCCACCCCCCCCCATCCAACGCTTCCCAACTCCCATTATTGGGCCATGAGGAGCTGGGGGGACTGGCGGGGATGGAGGGCTATGGGGGGCTGGGGGCTCAAGCTAGGGGAGGGGGCAGTGCTTGGGGGCACTGGGGGGCAGGTCCCTGGATCCCGTATTTGGAGCACCGGGGGGCTGCGTAGGGTGGGGGGCAGGCCCCAGCGCTGTCTGCCTCGGACACACTGCCCCTGGCCCATTCCTGCAGATGGGGGCTCAGCAAATGCCCCCCCGAGCCACATCGAGCCAGGAGGAGCCCCTGGGATAATGCCCAGCTGCCCCCCCCCCCACTAATCACAGGCACTTCCTGTTGTGGGGCGGCTGGGGGGCAGCTGTTGTGCTTGGCCGGCCCGGGGGCCGCTGGGGCTGGCCGCCGTGTTTATCTAACCCCGTCCTGCTGCAAATTGGAAGCAGGCAGGGCGCAGAGCGACGCCAAGACGGGGCCGCACCCGGGGGCTGGCTGGGCAGCACCAGCGCCTGGCTCTGGGGTGGGGCGGGGGGCTGGTTACCTGGGGACCCCTCGCCTGGCGCGGAGAGGCAGCTGCCTCTGGGCTGGGGCGCAGGGGCTCTTGACCAGCCCCACAACAACATTTTAACCCCTCACCGTGGAGCTGCGCCTATACCTCCAGGCCGAACCCGGATAGGGGCCCCTGCCCGGCCTGCTGCCCCCCAGGGGGCAGATAAAGCCTAGCATGCCCCTGGCTGCATGCAGGTGGGGCAGACAGAAAAGGGGCAGGGAGCCGTCTCCGTCTGCTTCGTGGTGCCTTGTGCCCTGGCACCCTTGAAGGCCAGTTTGCCCAGAGATTGTAGGCATGTTGGCACCGGGCGAGGGGTCGCTGGTTAACCAGCCCCCTGCCCCACCCCAGAGCCCATTCCCGAGTTGTAGGGAAAAGCCTGGCGCTGGGCAGGGACACACCCCCACGCCCACCCCTGCCAGCCTGGGAGAACAGCAGTGCTGGCCGGACGATCCCCCAGGCCAGGAAACTGAATCCCGGTGCCGCATGCAGCCCCAGCAGCGAAGCCAGGCACGGAACCCAAGCGTCCGGGGGCCTAGCCCAGCCTGCAAACCCCTGTGACAAAGTGGGAATGTTCTTAATGTTCTCTCTGAATACTGGGTGGGTGCCTCAGTTTCCCTAGGCATTTCTCAAGTATCCAGGTGGGGGATATGACAAAGTGGGACTGTTCTTGATGTTTCCTCTGAATATTCTGGGGGTGCCTCAGTTTCCCCTAGGCAGTTCTTAAGTATTTAGGGGGTGGGTAAGAGTGTATGATGGTTGCAGAGCCCTAGAGGGCAGGTGTGTGCAGGGGTCTGGACACAGAGAATGGCCGACACCCTGTTTCCTGGCCACTGATGGCCTGGGCCCTTCCCCCTGCCAGGTGAGAGCTAAAGGGTTGGAGAACAAAGGGATTCGGTGACCTCCTGTCCGGGAAAGAGACAAAGCCCAGGGGAGGGGGGGGCGGGAGAGAGTTTTTCAGTTTGGGGCTGGCTGGGACATGGAGTGAAGGGCAGACGGGGTGTCTGGCTCACTGTCCCCCAGAATGGACCCGGCTGAGGGGTCTCGTTCTCTGTACCTACAAGCTCTGTGTTAGACCCTGTTCCTGTCGTCTAATAAACCTTCTGTTTCCCCGGCTGGCTGCGGAGTTGGGGGGCAGGACCCTCTGGGCCTCCCCAGGACCCCGCCTGAGCGGACTCGCTGTGGGAAGCACACGAAGGGGCAGAGGAGGCTGGAGGCTCTGGGGTCAGACCCAGGAAGGGGGAAGCCGGGTGAGCTGTGTGTCCTGCAGACAGGCTGCTCCCCGAGAGGAGACTCCCCCAGAGTCCTGCCCGGCTTCGTAGGGAGCAGGTCAGAGCATCGCCCGGGGACCCCGTGACAGGGAGATCAGGGGGGTGATGGTCGCAGAGCCCTGGGGGGCAGCGTGATGGGGTCTGCACAGAGAATGCGACACCCCGTCCCCTGCAAGGTGTTGACTGAAGGGAACAAAGAGACCAGGTGGCTCCTGCCCCGGGAAAGGGACAAAGGCCGGAGGAGGGGTGGGAGGTTATAATAAACCTTCTGTTTTCACGTCTGACTGCGGAGTTGGGGGGCAGGGCCCTCTGGCCCCCCCAGGACCCTGCCCGGGGGATGGGCTGCGGGAAAGGTGGGGCAGGGGAGGCTGGAGGCTCCAGGGCCGGACCCAGGACGGTGGAAGCTGGGGCAGCGTCTTGCCCTGGGGACAGTAGGCGCCGAGAGGGGAGGGTCCCCAGAGTCCTGCCCGGCTTTGGGGGAGCAGGTCAGAGCACGGCCCGGGGACCCCGCGACACCCCCCTCGCCCACACTTGGCACAAGTCCACGTGTCGAGCCTCGGCCACCCCGTTTATCAGCCAAGGAGACAGGAGTCTGGTTACAGCAGCAGGGGCCCCTCCCGCCTTATTCCCAGCACGCTGCCCCCCAGCACCAGCGGGGCAGGCCTGGGGGGGTGCTCCAGGGCTGCAGAGAGACCCCCCCTTGCCTGAGTGACAGACAGACAGATGGGGGGTGGGAGGGATGAATGGGGGTGGAGAGGTGTCACGGAGTCCCTGGGCGATGCTCTGGAACTGCTCCCCATGAAGCCAGTCAGGACTCTGGGGCAGTCGCCTTTCTGCGAGCAGCCTGTCTTCAGGACACACAGCTCACCCGGCTTCCACCTTCCTGGGTCTGACTTCGGAGCATTCAGCATCCTCTGCCCCTCCATGCGCTTCCCACAGCGAGTCCGCTCAGGCGGGGCTCCTGGGGAAGCCAGAGGGTCCTGCCCCCCAACTCCGCAGTCAGACGGGACTCTCAGCCAGCCAGTAAAACAGAAGGTTTATTAGACGACAGGAACATGGTCTAAAACAGAGCTTTCAGGTGCAGAGAACGGGACCCCTCAGCTGGGTCCATTTTGGGGGGCAGTGAGCCAGACAACCACGTCTGCACTTCACTCCATGTCCCAGCCAGCCCCAAACTGAAAACCCCCTCCAGCCCCTCCTCCTCTGGGCTTTGTTCCTTTCCCGGGCCAGGTGGTCACCTGATTCCTTTGTTCTCCAACCCTTCAGCTCTCACCTTGCAGGGGGGAAGGGCCCAGGCCATCAGTTGCCAGGAAACAGGGTGTCGGCCATTCTCTGTGTCCAGACTCCTGCACACACATGCCCTCTAGGGCTCTGCAATGATCATACACCCCCATCCCACCCCCTAGATACTTAAGAACTGCCTAGGGGAAACTGAGGCACCCCCCCACTATTCAGAGGAAACATTAAGAACAGTCCCACTTCGTCACATCTCTCCCCCCTTCGAGATCGAACTGAGCGGGGTCACTTTAGCCGGTGACCTGGGGAAGTTCGAAGCCACCAACGTTCCCATGGATGCCCCAGCATCTCTCCCATTCCTTGGTAGGAGTTACACCAGGCCCTTCCAGTTTCACGCCCTCCCTTAGGTCAGGGGTGGTCGATAGCACTCGCAGGCCGCATGTGGGAAGGTTTATGCAGCCCATGCCCTTTGGCCACCCCAAGAATGTCTCCCCATTGACCATCACCTTCTGCTCCCACTGGAGGTCCGAGGGGCCTGGCCCCAGGAAACTCCACACAGACATATAGGTTGGGGTCAGGAGTGGGAGCCTGTCCACATCCCCAACCATCTGGCTGATGGAGTCTGTGGCCTTGGGACCCAGCAAGGGAGCTAGACACCGGGGCTTTTCCGCAGGGTCCCCTTGGTTCAAATCTCCAGCCTGCCCAAAGGCAGTGAGGTGGGCATCCACACCCCCCCCCCTCCTTAACCAGGGGCAGCAATTTAGTCTCGAGGTTCCCTGCGGAACTGGCCCCCCGGGGTCTATCCCCACTCACCCCGGGGAGGTCCCCTAGGCCTCTCCGCCCCACCACCGCCAGTTCATGCTGCTGCTGCTTCTGCAGCTCTTTCTCGGGCTCTCGCTGTCTCCCACGGTCCTCTTGCTCTCTCGGACTCAGCTCCAATCCCGTCCGTCTCGATCCCCCGATGGGGAACCCGATCGTGAAGACCCTCGTCTGGTCGGGGACAGGAGTCTTGGCGATGCCTGGCTCCCGCTCCAGCTGCTCCCAGATCCTGATATAGCCCCAGTTGGGGTCAGGAATCTGTTCCTTAGAGCGGTCATCCTCCTCCAGCTGCACGATTAACTCTGCTTTGGTGAACTTTCCAACGCTCAACCCTCTCTTTCTGCACAGGGTTACAATGTCCTTCTTAAGGAGACGGTGACAGGCCATCACTCCGCTCCTCCCAAGTTGTTGTGGACTCACAGGCCCGTGTGTTCTCAGCTCCCCACGGTTTCCAGGGAGAACCCCTAGTGTGCCAGCCCTTCTCGAGGTCACCCCCTCTTTGCCAGGGTCGAGCTGCAGACTCCTCCGCCCCTTGGACTGCTCGCTGCAATCCCCAGGGGAACCCTGTTACTGCACAGTCCTTCTCGCTGGTCACACACTCCCAGGGGTTAACCGCCCCCCGAAACCGCTCTTCTCTGAGCCTTCAGCAGGCCTGGTCCTCGGCAATCCCCCTTCGTGTTACTGCTCCCCAGTCACTTACTGCAGGAAGCACCATCCACGGGGTGCAGTACATCCCACCGTTGCCACCAGTTGTCACGGAGTCCCTGGGCGATGCTCTGGAACTGCTCCCCATGAAGCCAGTCAGGACTCTGGGGCAGTCGCCTTTCTGTGAGCAGCCTGTCTTCAGGACACACAGCTCACCTGGCTTCCACCTTCCTGGGTCTGACCTCGGAGCATTCAGCCTCCTCTGCCCCTCCGTGCGCTTCCCACAGCGAGTCCGCTCAGGCGGGGCTCCTGGGGAAGCCAGAGGGTCCTGCCCCCCAACTTCGCAGTCAGACGGGACTCTCAGCCAGCCAGTAAAACAGAAGGTTTATTAGACGACAGGAACATGGTGTAAAACAGAGCTTGCAGGTGCAGAGAACGGGACCTCTCAGCTGGGTCCATTTTGGGGGGCAGTGAGCCAGACAACCCCGTCTGCCCTTCACTCCATGTCCCAGCCAGCCCCAAACTGAAAACCCCCTCCAGCCCCTCCTCCTCTGGGCTTTGTTCCTTTCCCGGGCCAGGTGGTCACCTGATTCCTTTGTTCTCCAACCCTTCAGCTCTCACCTTGCAGGGGGGAAGGGCCCAGGCCATCAGGTGCCAGGAAACAGGGTGTCGGCCATTCTCTGTGTCCAGACTCCTGCACACACCTGCCCTCTAGGGCTCTGCAATGATCATAGACCCTTACCCCACCCCCTAGATACTTAAGAACTGCCTAGGGGAAACTGAGGCACCCCCACACTATTCAGAGGAAACATTAAGAACAGTCCCACTTCGTCACAAGAGGTGCAGGGAGGGACGGACAGCTGGACATAGGGGCATGGATGGGGCAGCAGACGCTCAGCCAGCTCACTGAGCACGGCCTTGTGGGGGCCCCCCAGCCCCAGGGTCCCGGCGCCCCTAGGCCACCGGGGGCGGCCCCAGGCTGCGACAGGCCCCGGATCCCGACCCCCCTAGGCCTGGCCGCGCTGCGGGGACGGCCCCAGGCTGCGACAGGCCCCGGGTCCCGGCGCCCCTAGGCCTGGCCGCGCTGCGGGGCTGGCCCCAGGCTGCGACAGGCCCCGGGTCCCGACCCCCCTAGGCCTGGCCGCGCTGCGGGGCTGGCCCCAGGCTGCGACAGGCCCCGGGTCCCGACCCCCCTAGGCCTGGCCGCGCTGCGGGGCTGGCCCCAGGCTGCGACAGGCCCCGGGTCCCGACCCCCCTAGGCCTGGCCGCGCTGCGGGCTGGCCCCAGGCTCGACAGGCCCCGGTCCCGACCCCCTAGGCCTGGCCGCCTGCGGGCTGGCCCCAGGCTGCGACAGGCCCCGGGTCCCGACCCCCTAGGCCTGGCCGCGCTGCGGGGCTGGCCCCAGGCTGCGACAGGCCCCGGGTCCCAACCCCCCTAGGCCTGGCCGCGCTGCGGGTGCAGCACCACGCTGTGGTAGGCCCGGATGCAGGAGAAGGCCGTGGGCGGGATGCGCCGCGGGTCGATCAGGTTCTGCTCCAGGCGCATGGAGACCAGGCTGGAGTCCTCGGCCACCCGCGTGTCGCACACCGAGTTCAGCGGGACCTGCCTGCAGGGAAACGGGGTGAGTGGGGTGGGGGGGAAGCCCAGATGCCTGGGTTCTCTCCCTGCCTCTGGGGGCCCAGTGGGGTGGGGGGAAGCCCGGACGCCTGGGTTCTCTCCCCGGCTCTGGGGGCCCAGTGGGGTGGGGGGGAAGCCCGGACGCCTGGGTTCTCTCCCTGGCTCTGCGGGCCGAGTGGGAAGCCCAGACGCCTGGGTTCTCTCCCCGGCTCTGGGGGCCCAGTGGGGTGGGGGGGAAGCCCGGACGCCTGGGTTCTCTCCCTGGCTCTGCGGGCTGAGTGGGAAGCCCGGACGCCTGGGTTCTCTCCCTGGCTCTGGGGGCCCAGTGGGGATGGTGGGAGCCCAGACGCCTGGGTTCTCTCCCCGGCTCTGCGGGCCGAGTGGGAAGCCCGGACGCCTGGGTTCTCTCCCTGGCTCTGGGGGCCCAGTGGGGATGGTGGGAGCCCGGACGCCAGGGTTCCCTGCCCTACCTGATGAGGTTGTGGCTCAGCCGCAGGACCTGCAGCCCCTTGAGGCCCAGCAGCCCCCGGGGCACGGCCTGCAGCTGGTTGTGGTCCAGCAGCAGCTCGGCCAGGGACCGGCCCAGCCCGGCGAAGGAGGTGGCGTGGACGCCCTCGGCCCGCAGGCGGTTGTGGGACAGGCGGAGGAACTCCAGCCCTGGGCGCAGGTGAGCGAAGACGTAGCCCGGGACGCGCTCGATGCGGTTGTGGTGCAGGGTCAGCTGGCGCAGCCGGCGCGGCAGGAAGGACGGCACGTGCACCAGCCGGTTGTAGGAGAGGTCCAGGGACTCCAGCTTCCTGCAGGGGTGGAGGGATGGGGTTGGGACGCCTGGGTCCTCTCCCTGGCTCTGGGAGGGGAGCGGGGGCTGGTGGGTTAGACCCAGGACACCTGGGTTCTCCGGCACCACAGGGTGACTCACGGCAGGTCAATCCAGGCCCGCGGCGCAATCCGATCCTCCTGGAGCTTGTTGTTGCTCAGAACCAGGACGCTGAGGTTCAGGGTCTTGTTGAGCAGCCCCTCCCGCACCTCCTCTATGTGATTGGAGTCAAGATGCAGCTCCTGGGGAAAGCTTGAGATTACAGCCCCCCACAGAGATCCCTTCCCCTTAACTCTGCCCATCAGAAACCCCCAGCACCTTCGCCTTAGCTCTGCCCGCCAGAAACCCCCAGCACCTTCACCTTAACTCTCCCCCACAGTGACCTCCAGCACCTTCATCTTAACTCTGCCCCTCAGAAACCCCCTGCAGCTTCACCTTTACTCTGCCTCAAAGAGGTCCAACAAGTACCTTAAATCCACCCCAGAGAGACCCCATCCAGTCATCTTAACACTCCCCATAGACACTCTAACACCTTGACTTTAACTCTGCCCCAGAGAGCCCCCCCAGCACTTGAAGGCTGCCCCATGGAGACACGGGCGGGGGGCCGGGGCTGACCTGCAGGGAGGGGGGCAGGCCCGAGGGGATGGCCCGGAACCGGTTCCGATCCAGCCGCAGATAGATGAGGCTGCGCAAAGGTTTGAAGGAGGTTGGGATCACGTTCCCGTCATGCAACTCATCCCCTTCCAGCTCCAGGGTCAACAGCTTATAGAGCCCTGCCAAGAGATGGGGGGCCTCGGGGTAAACCCCAGAACACCCCTGCCCGAACTGGGGGAAAACCCAGGAGTCCTGGCCCCCCGTCCCCCTGCTCTGACCACCAGACCCCGCTCCCCTCTCAGACCCGCGGAGAGAACCCAGGAGCCCTGGTGTGACAAAGTGGGACTGTTCTTAATGTTTTCTCTGAATCCTGTAGGGGTTCCTCAGTTTCCCCTAGGCATTTCGTAAGTCTCTAGGGGGTGGGATAAGGCGGGGGTGTAATTGTTGCAGAGCAAAGGGCCAGGGTTCATAAATGGCGACACTCTGTCTCCTGGCCACTGGTGGCCTGGGCCCTTCCCCCTGCCAGGTGAGGGCTAAAGGGCTGGAGAACAAAGGGATCCGGTGACCTCCTGGCCCGAGAAAGGGACAAAGCCCAGAGCGGAGGGGGGGGGGGGGGGGGGGCTGGAGGGAGTTTCAGTTTGGGGCTGGCTGGGACATGGAGTGAAGTGCAGACGTGGTTGTCTGGCTCACTGCCCCCCAAAATGGACCCAGCTGAGGGGTCCAGTTCTCTGCACCTACAAGCTCTGTGTAAGACCCTGTTCCTGTCGTCTAATAAACCTTCTGTTTTACTGGTGGCTGAGAGTCCCGTCTGGCTGCGGAGTTGGGGGGCAGGACCCTCTGGCCCCCCCAGGAGCCCCGCCTGAGCGGACTCACTGTGGGAAGCGCACGGAGGGGCAGAGGAGGCTGGAGGCTCCGGGGTCAGACCCAGGAAGGGGGAAGCCGGGGGAGCTGTGTGTCCTGCAGACAGGCTGCTCCCCGAGAGGAGACTCCCCCAGAGTCCTGCCCGGCTTCGTGGGGAGCAGGTCAGAGCATCGCCTGGGGACCCCGTGACACCTGGCTCCCCGCCCAGCCGCTCTGACCACCAGACCCCACTCCCATCCCAGAACGGGGGAGAGAATCCAGGCGTCCTGGCCCCCCGCCCCTTGCTCTAACCCACCAGCCCTGCTCCCCTCCCGGAGCTGGGGAGAGAACCCAGGAATTAGCTCATTACCGGGCGAGGGTGTGACGAAGTGGGACTGTTCTTAATGTTTCCTCTGAATAGTGTGGGGGTGCCTCAGTTTCCCCTAGGCAGTTCTTAAGTATCTAGGGGGTGGAGTAAGGGTGTATGATCATTGCAGAGCCCTAGAGGGCATGTGTGTCAGGAGTCTGGACACAGAGAATGGCCGACACCCTGTTTCCTGGCAACTAATGGCCTGGGCCCTTCCCCCCTGCAAGGTGAGAGCTGAAGGGTTGGAGAACAAAGGAATCAGGTACCACCTGCCCGGAAAGGAACAAAGCCCAGAGGAGGAGGGGCTGGAGGGGTTTTCAGTTTGGGGCTGGCTGGGACATGGAGTGAATAGACTGTTGTCTGCTCACTGCCCCCAAAATGGACCCAGCTGAGGGTCCCGTTCTCTGCACCTCAAGCTCTGTTTTAGACCATTTCCTGTCCTAATAAACCTTCTGTTTTACTGGCTGGCTGAGAGTCACGTCTGACTCGGTTGGGGTGCAGGACCCTCTGGCTTCCCCAGGAGCCCCGCCTGAGCGGACGTGGGGAAGCGCACGGAGGGGCAGAGGATGCTAATGCTCCGAGGTCAGACCAGAAGGTGGAAGCTGTGTGAGCTCTGTCCTGAAGACAGGCTCTCCAGAAAGGCGACTCCCAGAGTCCTACTGGCTTCATGGGGAGCAGTTCCAAAGCATCGCCCAGGGACTCCGTGACAACTGGTGGCAGCGTGGGATGTACTCACCCTGGATGTGCTCTGCAGTAAGTGACTGGGGAGCAGTAACCGAAGGGGGATTGCCGAGACCAGGCCTCTGAAGGCTCAGAGAGGAGCGGTTTCGGGGCTTAACCCCTGGGAGTGTGTGACCGCGAGAGGACTTCAGTAACAGGGTCCCCTGGGGATTCAGCGAGCAGTCAAGGGCGGAGGAGTCTGCAGCTCGACCCTCCAAAGAGGTGGTACTCGAGAAGGGCTGACACACTAGGGGTCCCTGAAACGTGGGGAGATGAGAACACACGGGCCTGTATCCACAACAACTTGGGAGGAGCGGACGGCCTGTCACCTCTCCTTAAGAAGGACATTTAACCCTGTGCAAAAGAGAGGGTTGAGCATTGAAAGTTCACCAAAGCAGAGTTAATCGTCAGCTGGAGGAGGATGACCTCTAAGGAACAGATTCTGACCCCAACTGGGGCTTGCAGGATCTGGGAGCAGCTGAAGGGGAGCCAGGCCAAGACTCCTGTCCCCACCAGACGGGGTCTTCACGATCGGGTTCCCCATCGGGGGATCAAGACGGGCGGGATTGGAGCTGAGTCTGAGAGAGCAAGAGGACTGTGAGAGACAGCGAGGCCGAGAAAGAGCTCAGAAGCAGCAGCACATGAACTGGCGGTGGGGGAGCGGAGAGCCTAGGGGACCTCCCAGGGGTGAGTGGGGATAGACCCGGGGCCAGTTCCGCAGGGAACCTCAAGACTAAATTCTGCCCCTGGTTAAGGAGGGGGTGTGTGGATCACCTCACTCTTTGAGCAGGCTGGCATTTGAACCAAGGGGACCCTGAAAAGCCCCGGTGTCTAGCTCCCTCTGGTCCCAAGGCCACAGACTCCTCGCCAGATGGTTGGGGATGTGGACAGGCTCCCCCCTGACCCCAACCTATATGTCTGTGTGGAGTTTCCTGCAGGCAGCTCACAGAAAGGCGATGCCCCAGAGTCCTGACTGGCTTCATGGGGAGCAGTTCCAAAGCATCGCCCAGGGACTCCGTGACAACTGGTGGCAGCGGTGGGATGTACTGCACCCCGTGGATGGTGCTTACTGCAGTAAGTGACTGGGGAGCAGTAACACGAAGGGGGATTGCCGAGACCAGCTGCTGAAGGCTCAGAGAGAGCGGTTTCGGGGGCGGTTAACCCCTGGGAGTGTGTGACCAGCGAGAAGGACTGTGCAGTAACAGGGTTCCCCTGGGGATTGCAGCAGCAGTCCAAGGGCGGAGGAGTCTGCGCTCGACCCTGCCAAAGAGGTGGTGACCTCGAGAGGGCTGACACACTAGGGGTTCTCCTGAAACCGTGGGGAGATGAGAACCACGGGCCTGTGAGTCCACAACAACTTGGGAGGAGCGGAGTACGGCCTGTCACCGTCTCCTTAAGAAGGACATTGTAACCCTGTGCAAAAGAGAGGGTTGAGCATTGGAAAGTTCACCAAAGCAGAGTTAATCGTGCAGCTGGAGGAGGATGACCCTCTAAGGAACAGATTCCTGACCCCAACTGGGGCTATAGCAGGATCTGGGAGCAGCTGAAGCGGGAGCCAGGCAGCCAACCTGTCCCCGACCAGACGGGGTCTTCACGATCGGGTTCCCCATCGGGGGATCAAGACGGGCGGGATTGGAGCTGAGTCTGAGAGAGCAAGAGGACTGTGAGAGACAGCGAGCCCGAGAAAGAGCTGCAGAAGCAGCAGCAGCATGAACTGGCGGTGGGGGAGCGGAGAGGCCTAGGGGACCTCCCAGGGGTGAGTGGGGATAGACCCCGGGGGGCCAGTTCCGCAGGGAACCTCAAGACTAAATTGCTGCCCCTGGTTAAGGAGGGGGGGTGTGGATGCCACCTCACTGCCTTTGAGCAGGCTGGCGATTTGAACCAAGGGGACCCTGCGGAAAAGCCCCGGTGTCTAGCTCCCTTGCTGGGTCCCAAGGCCACAGACTCCGTCAGCCAGATGGTTGGGGATGTGGACAGGCTCCCACTCCTGACCCCAACCTATATGTCTGTGTGGAGTTTCCTGGGGCCAGGCCCCCGGACCTCCAGTGGGAGCAGAAGGTGATGGTCAATGGGGAGACATTCTTGGGGTGGCCAAAGGGCATGGGCTGCATAAACCTTCCCACATGCGGCCTGCGAGTGCTATCGACCACCCCTGACCTAAGGGAGGGGGTGAAACTGGAAGGGCCTGGTGTAACTCCTACCAAGGAATGGGAGAGATGCTGGGGCATCCATGGGAACGTTGGTGGCTTCGAACTTCCCCAGGTCACCGGCTAAAGTGACCCCGCTCAGTTCGATCTCGAAGGGGGAGAGATGTGACGAAGTGGGACTGTTCTTAATGTTTCCTCTGAATAGTGTGGGGGTGCCTCAGTTTCCCTAGGCAGTTCTTAAGTATCTAGGGGGTGGAGTAAGGGTGTATGATCATTGCAGAGCCCTAGAGGGCATGTGTGTGCAGGAGTCTGGACACAGAGAATGGCCGACACCCTGTTTCCTGGCAACTAATGGCCTGGGCCCTTCCCCCCCTGCAAGGTGAGAGCTGAAGGGTTGGAGAACAAAGGAATCAGGTGACCACCTGGCCCGGGAAAGGAACAAAGCCCAGAGGAGGAGGGGCTGGAGGGGGTTTTCAGTTTGGGGCTGGCTGGGACATGGAGTGAAGTGCAGACGTGGTTGTCTGGCTCACTGCCCCCCAAAATGGACCCAGCTGAGGGGTCCCGTTCTCTGCACCTGCAAGCTCTGTTTTAGACCATGTTCCTGTCGTCTAATAAACCTTCTGTTTTACTGGCTGGCTGAGAGTCACGTCTGACTGCGAAGTTGGGGTGCAGGACCCTCTGGCTTCCCCAGGAGCCCCGCCTGAGCGGACTCGCTGGGGGAAGCGCACGGAGGGGCAGAGGATGCTGAATGCTCCGAGGTCAGACCCAGGAAGGTGGAAGCTGTGTGAGCTGCGTGTCCTGAAGACAGGCTGCTCACAGAAAGGCGACTGCCCCAGAGTCCTGACTGGCTTCATGGGGAGCAGTTCCAGAGCATCGCCCAGGGACTCCGTGACAGAGGGGTCCCCAGATGACCAGCCCCTGCCCCCAGGGGCCTGTCTCACCTCGAAAGCTGTCACTCTGCAGTCTCTCGAGCCCATTGTCGTTCACTTTTAGCTCCAGCAGGGACGGGGGCAGGGACGGGATCCTCGTGAGCCGGTTCCCATCTAGATTCAGCCGCTTCAACTTGGTCAGGTTCTGGGGGGGGAGAAACTGTATGGGGAGGGTCTGGTGGTCAGAGCAGGGGGTGCTGGGAGCCAGGACTCCTGGGTTCTCTCCCCGGCTCTGGGAGGGGAGTGGGGGTCTGGTGGTTAGAGCAGAGGGGGCAGGGAGCCAGGACTCCTGGGTTCTCTCCCTGGCTCTGGGAGGGGAGGGGTCTGGTGGTTAGAGCCAGGGGAGCCTGGGAGCCACCTGGGTTCTCTTCCCAGGGTACTCTATGGGTGAGAACCCATCGGGAGTGGCAGGGCCGGGTTCACCCACCTGGAAGGCCTTGGGGTGCAGGCCCCCGGAGTCCAGCTGGTTCTTGCTGAGATCCACCCACTCCAGGTTGGGGAGCCCCGCAAAGACCCCGCGCGGCAGCCGGGAGATCTCGTTGTCTGGGGGATGCGGACAGGCAATTAGCACCTTTCCTGGCTGGCTTCTTGCCTGGCCCCGGAGCTGGGGGGTGTCTGGGGATGGAGCCCGGATCCCATGGCCAGGCAGGAGTGTTGTAATCATCGGGCCTGACCCCCGTCCGGCAGGCCAGAGATCGGCCTCCCGTGAGCCCTAGCACACGTCAGCTGGAGACCCGCCTGCGCCCCTCGAGGAACTGGCCAAGGTGAATGTGCCTCACTGCTAAAAATGGACCCGTCATCCCTGGCCCCAGCCCTGGCCCTGGCCCCTCATCCCCAGCTCTTCGTCTCCAGCCCTGGGGGACGGATGGACGGGTTCATGGGGGGGTGATGGATGGTTGGACAGACGGACGGGGCACGTGGCTGGGGACAGATGGACAGGTTCATGGGGGGATGATGGATGGATGGATGGACGGATGGGGGACATGGCTGGGGACAGACAGATGGGTTCTTGGGAGGGTGATGGTGTGATGAAGTGGGACTGTTCTTAATGTTTTCTCTGAATATTGTGGGGGTGCCTCAGTTTCCCCTAGGCAGTTCTTAAGTCTCTAGGGGGTGGGGGAAGGGGGAAGGATCGTTGCAGAGCCCTAGAGGGCAGGGGTGTGCAGGGGTCTGGACACAGAGAATGGCCGACACCCTGTTTCCTGGCCACTTGATGGCCTGGGCCCTTCCCCCTGCCAGGTGACAGCTAAAGGGTTGGAGAACAAAGGGATCCAGTGACCTCCTGGCCCGGAAAGGGACAAAGCCTTGGTGGGGGGGGGGAGGGTGAGTCATTTTGGGGCTGGCTGGGACATGGAGTGAAGGGCAGACGGGGTTGTCTGGCTCACTGCCCCCCAGAATGGACCCAGCTGAGGGGTCTCGTTCTCTGCACCTACAAGCTCTGTGTTAGACCCTGTTCCTGTCGTCCAATAAACTTTCTGTTTCCCCGGCTGGCTGAGAGTCCCGTCTGGCTGCGGAGTTGGGGGGCAGGACCCTCTGGCCCCCTCAGGACCCCGCCTGGGCGGACTGGCTGTGGGAAGCGCCCGGAGGGGCAGAGGAGGCTGGAGGCTCCGGGGTCAGACCCAGGAAGGGGGAAGCCGGGGGAGCTGTGTGTCCTGCAGACAGGCTGCTCCCCGAGAGGAGACTCCCCCAGAGCCCTGCCCGGCTTCATGGGGAGCAGGTCAGAGCATCGCCCAGGGACTCTGTGACAGATGGATGGATGGACGGATCGGGGACGTGGCTGGAGACGGATGGACGGGTTCCTGGGGGGGTGATGGGTGGACGGACGGATAGGGGACATGGGGTGATGGATGGAAGGGGGACGTGGCTGGGGATGAATGGAGGGGGGACAGATATGGGTGGGGGGATGGAGGGAGGGGCGGTATGAGTGTACAGTGGATGGACTGGCTCTGCCCCCCATACCCGGCTGCTCCCCCACTGCCCGGCCGCCCAGTCCCCCCCCCGGCCGCGGTGTTCTCACCTGCCAGGTAAAGCATTTTTAGCCCGGCGTCGCTCAGTGCCGGCACCTGCTTCATGTGGACGTTTCCGCAGGCGATGGCCGAGTCGGAGAGGAGGCAGGCGGTGGGCAGCGAGGGCATGATGGGTCCCCCCTCGGGCCGCGCGCCCGGCCGTGCTCTGCCCGCCTCCAGCCGGGTGGCATTGCTCCGCCGGGGGGGGTGGTTCCTTCCCCAGCACCTGCTGCCCTGCGGAGCAAGACAGAGGGTCATCCATGGGGAAGGGACCCCTGAGAGGGGGGCACCCTAGGGGACAGGATCGCCGGAGAGGGGGCACCCTGGGCAGAGCTGATTTTTGGGGTTCTGGCACTTCCAAAAAGCGTTTTTAAAATATCATTTTGGCCCAAATCCAAAAATGGGGGGGAACGTCGGCAAACGGTGAAACGCCAGACTGGGCGAGGGGGGACGGCTGAGGTCCATGCGTCAGGCGCCGGGGCGGGGGGCCGGACTGGCCCCTGGCGAAGGAAATTCTGGCTCCTGGAAGGAAGAGAGAAGGCAGGTGCGAGGGACCGGGCCAGGAGCTGCTTCCCGGCTATTTACCTGGCGTCTTCGGCCACGCTACGTGGCTGGCGCACGTTTGAACCGTTATAAAGCTTCTGCTTATCTGCCCCCCCCTTGCCTGGCACCCTCCTTTTCTCCCCACAAAAGCTGAAATCGATAAAGGTGCAGAAGAACCAGCAGCGAGCTCCGAAGGATAAAGCAGGACAAAGCCGCCCGGGCCCGGCTCGCTGACTTTCTCTTCGTTTTCATCCATTTGAATGATCTCCTTTGTGCAAACTGATGAGGGCAGGGCGGGGGTGTCACAATCCCGTGTCGAGACCCCCCGCGTCGTCTCGCTTTGCCTGGCTGGCCAGTTCCACGCTCAGCGTTGCTGGTTTACGTCTCCCCTCAGTGGTCACCAACACACACCAGACCCTTCCCGGCCCGGCTCCGGGACACCGGCCCGGCTCCGGGACACCGGCCCACGGGCCCCACTCGGCAAACCCGCGCTCTCCCCCCGGCAAGCTGGCACCACCGCTACGCAGGGGGCCGGCCAGAAGTTACACCAGGCGTTCTGGGGGGTTGCAAGCCACCCCTTTGTAACACGAACGCAGGAGCCGCACTGAGGGCGGACACCAGCGGGGCCGGGGCCGGGGCCGAGGGGGGGCAGTGGTTAGCGGGCCCAGCCCGCCGGCAGCTCCGGTTCTCTCTCCCACTCGAACGGTGCCAGCCAGCAGTGGGGGGGTTTGAACCTGGGTCGCCCGCACCCCAGCCGAGAGCCCTAAGCGCCAGGCAGGAGGCGGCTGCAGGCGGCCTGGGCCTGCTGGGCGAGGGGCACTGGGGTAGTGGGAGCCCACAGCAGGGGACGTTCTGGGTAGTAGGGACCAGATCCCCCCCAGATGCCGGCCTTCCTCCCCGCTTCCCCCCACCTTTCCCAGCTCTCCTGGAGACCCCGGCGTCCTGGGCTGTGCCAACACTGTGTCTGCTGTTCCTGGCAGTGGCAGGGGGCTCCGACCTGGCCTTGGCACCCGGTGCCTTCCCGGCAGCTCTGGGGGGCCCCGTCTCCTCGCCAGGCAGGGACCCCCTCCGGGTCCCCAGGACCTTGGCCCCGTCCTGCCGCGCCTCCTGGGCCGCTTTCCCTCGCTCGGGCGCCCCTCCGCCTTCCTCCGGCTGGGGCCTGGAGAGGGGAGGGGGTCAGCGAGGGAGGGGGAACAGAGGTGGCTGGGGGGGGCGTTGAGCCCTTCAGGCCTCCCCTCGCTCCAAGGGGTGAGATACAGAATAGGGCAGGGACAGCTGCCTGCCCCCCTCCAACCCTTCCCGTCCGCCTGCCCCCCTCCCCGTCCTCCTGCCCCCCTCCGTCCCTCCCCATCCCCACTCCTGCCACACACCCTCTTCTATCCCTCCATCTACCCCCACCCCTTCTCTCTGCTTCCCTAACCCCCCATCTACCCACCCTCAGACTCACCCTCCGTGGGCTCAGTTGTGGGGCTGGATCCTGGGCACTCAGCTGCTCTGGGGAGCCGCCTATGAGGGCTGGGTCCTCGGTGAGGGGAGCAGATGGGGAGCTGTGGTTTTTGGGGCCCAGAGCAGATGGGGGGCTCAGCACCTTGGGGGCCCCCCTCCTGGCACCCTCGAGCTGAACCCACAGGAAGAGGGCCAGCAACAGCACCAGTTTCATGGCTGCAGCCAGCCAACTCCCCTGCCAGCAGCCGACTGCCGGATGGCCCAGCCCGGGGGCCCGCCCCCCATGCTCCCCCCTTGGCCACACACCTTAGCCCATAAGCAAACACCCCCAAGCCGGATCGCCCCACTGCTGGTGTAAATCGGCCTTGACTCCTCCCCAGGCCCAGCTGCCATGGGCGCTGCAGGCTGGCAGGGATCTGGCCCCGGAGAGACAGGGCCCTTTTGTTCAGGGCCCGGGGAGCCTGGAACCGGCCCACTAGCCTTGGCCAGGCCCGGGGGAATTGGGATGAATGGGCCCTCTGTCTGTCCGCACACAGCCAGCAACTGTCAGGGAACGGGCCCTGGGCCGCAGGGAGCCCCCTGTACACGCTGGTCCCCCCTGGGGCCGGGCCAGGAACAGATCCCTGGCTGGGGTGAGCCGGCATTGACCCCGCATCGGCTAGGCCAGAAATGCCAGAGGGGGAAAGTGACAGCCAGAGGCCCCCACGTGGTTACAGACCACCCCGTTCTCTGACCCCCAAGAACTCCCAGAGCCAGGGCAGAACCCAGGAGTCCTGGCTCCCAGCCCGCTGCTGGCTCTAACCCACTAGGCCCCAGGCCCCTCCCATGCCTGGGGAGAGAACCCAGGCGTCCTGCAGGTGGAGCAGACACACTGGGCCCCTTGTGTTTACAGCAGGATTTCTGCTTTCAGGAGCAAAGTGCTGTTAAACGTGACCGACAGACACTGCTGGGGGCTCCCGCAAGCCTGAGCCACCCGCCGCAAAGGGGGGAAGCTGCCCACAGCTGAGATGCAGCCACCTCTGGGGTGGGGCAGGGGCTCGGTTATAGGGGGACACCTTGCCCAGTGCTAAGACATGGCCCCAGCAGGGTGGGCACGGGGGCTGGTTATAGGGCGATGTCACGGGCTCCCAGGTCGTGCCCACTCTTGGCCCATGCGGTCCCTGGGGGGAACCCCCATCAGTGCAAGAGCCCTTCTCAGGGGTCCAGCCCCCCGCCTCCTGGAACCGCACCGCTCTGAGCCTTAGCATGTCTGTCTCTGCCGTGGGCCCCTCAAGGAGACCCTCGGGTCCTCCACTCCCAGAGGGAATAATGCCCCCACCCAGCTCCCCCCCCCTAGAGGGAATAAGCCCCCCCCCGAGCTCCCCACACCCAGAGAGAATAATGCCCCCCTGTTCTCTAGACTGGAGTGACACTCAGCCGGCATAAAGCAGCAGGGTTTATTGAGCGTCTGAACCCAGCATAGGAAACTCTCTGGGCCTCAGGCCTGGCCCGCCTCAGCCCAACACATCCCAGTCTCCCCTGCATCCAGCTGGGCTCTGCCTGCTCCCTCTCTCCAGCCCAGAGCCCCCCTGCTTCCCAGCTGGGCATCCGATCTCACCGGCCCCAAGCCCCCCCTCTGTCCATTGTCGCCTGGTAAACAGGGTTGCCTGGGCCCCTTCTGGCTGGACCGGTCACCGGGGTCCTCTCTCCGCAGCCCATTGTCCCCCCACTGGCCAGACCCAACTGGGACTCCCAAGCTGGGGCTGCCGATCCCCAGTCGCTGGGGTCTCCACTCTCCAGGCCATTGGCCGGGGTCCCACGTTCCCTCACTGGCCCTAGTGTCCCCACAAACCCCCTCTCCCACCCCCTTGTTAAACCCGTAACACCCAGGCAAACTGAGTCCCACCCCCTCTGCATGCAAACCACTGATAAAACCAAGAGAACCCCCCACTTTGTCACAGGGGACCCCACGCCTGACGCTGGGACCGGCCTCTCCAGCTGGCATCACTTATGCAGGGACCCCTTGCCTGGCACAGAGACATGGCCCCTCTGTCTGGGGCTGGTTATAGGGGCCCCTTGCCTGATGAAAGGATGGCCCCCCAGTCTGGTTCTAGGGGGCCCACACCTGATGCTGGGATGTAGCCCCCCCGGCTGGGCTGGTTACAGGGGCCCCTGGCAGGAGGCTGGGGCAGGCCAGCTGGTGAGCAGTTGGACGTTATGTAAGGCAGGAAGTGCAGCCAGTGAGATCCAGCTGAACGGTGATCTCCGCTCCCCCCCGCCCCCGGGGTTGGTGGTTAGAGTAGGGGGAGGGGTGCTCACAGTACTCCTGGGTTCTCTCCCCAGCTCTGGGAGAGGAATGGGGCCTAGGGAGCTAGAGCAGAAAGCGGGCTGGGAGCCAGGATTCCGGGTCATAGCCGCTGTGTAACTTTGGGGGAAGTCACACCCCCTGTGCCTCAGTTTCCCTGCTCACCCTTACAATCCAATGCAGGGGCTGCAGAGGGCCAGGTCAAGGGGAGCTGCGCAGCACCCACCCCTATAGCCCCCCCAGTTGGGATCTGCACAGCAGCCAGCCTGACAGCACCCACCCCCATCTCATTCATATTCCCAGCCAGGTTTGAGTCACTGCTTCCCCTGCCAAGGGCCCGTCTAGACCAAGCCAGCCCCAGGCGGGTCAGATTTTCATTTCCTCTCCGGTAAGCTAGGGGCCCAGGCAGGGGGGTGGAGTGGGAAGGCTGGGAGGCAGGACACCTGGGTTCTATCCCCACCTCTGCCACAGACCTGCTCTATGAGCGAGGGGCAAGGATGGCCTCCCTTGGGCCTCAGTTTCCCCCCCTTTGTCTGCTCCAGGCCAGGAGCTCCTGCAGGCAGGGACTGTGCCACACCCAGCCCACACTGGGACCCCCAGCTCAGGCAGGGGAGCCATGCAGCACCCAGCACAATGGGGGGCCCTGATCTCAGGCCCAAGGGTCTATGGGGGACCCCATACAACAAGAGGACTCCAAGCACCAGGGGTGGGAATGTAGCACTCCACACAGTGTGGGCCCTGACCCAGCTGTGCCATGGGAGGCTGGAGGCGTATGGGGTGGCCAGTACAGGGGCGATCAGTGCAGCACCTGGCACTTCAGGTGGGAGGCCGAAGCAAAGACCCCCCCAGCCCCTGCTAAAGCCAGCATGAGGTGCCCTCACAGCCAGCCTGCCCCCCAAGCTCCCCCAGCCCATCCACTCTGATCCGCCCCCATCCTACAGTCGTGGGGTGCGTGGCACGGGCCACGCAGCGCCGTCGCCCACCCCCCGACTGGAGTTCCAGGCCCGAGAGGAGACAAAAGCTGTTTAATTAGAGGCAAAGTAACCAGGGCCCGGTCACGTGTCTGACCCTGGGGGATACACAGAGCAGTCCATACAGCGCATGCGCCCCCCCCGGGTACCCCCCCGCCACTCCCCTGAGATCGCCAGCTCTAAGTGCAAAATGGTGCAGTGAGAAAAGGGGATACTGCCTCGAAAGTGCAGGTTGAGGGTCTCTGAGCGCCAGGCCCGGCCCCACCCCGAGACGCCCCTGCCCTGTACGTGTGGGTGGGTGGGGGTCTCTGAGCGCCAGGCCCGGCCCCACCCCGAGACGCCCCTGCCCTGTACGTGTGGGTGGGTGGGGGTCTCTGAGCGCCAGGCCCGGCCCCACCCCGAGACGCCCCTGCCCTGTACGTGTGGGTGGGGGGGGGGTCTCTGAGCACCAGGCCTGGCCCCTGCCCTGTAAGTGTGGGACCCTGAGCCACCCCCATGAGGGCAAGAGGAGGAGGAGGTCTCCCGCAGCAAGGCAGAGACACCGGCCAGTGCTCTGCCCCCAGCCGGCCGGCTGGCTACACCCTACCTAGCCCTGAGCAGTTAAGGCCCGGCAGCCGCCCACTGGCGGGGGCAGCTGCGGCAGAGGTCAGGGGTCTGTCGGCAGTTTGCAGCATTGAAGGCACGAGCGGTGAAGGGCGGTGCCGGTCCCGGGGCTGGCTCTGGTTGGCACCGATCCTGCATGTTTCTCTGCGAGGCCGCTGAGGTCTCAGTGCTGCGTGGGAAAAACCCAGTTACCCTCGGAGCAGAGCAAAGGGGATACCCCCACAACCCACGGCACCGATCCCTGCCCCGCAGGCTGGGACCAATATCAAGGGGAGATGGCCTGGCCACCTCACAGCTTAGCCCCACTGCCCCCTGCCTGCCTGGGGGGCAGAGACCAGCCAGGGCACAGGCCCCATGGCTGGACAACCGGTAGCCAGGGAGGTTTGCCTGAGTCTGCAGAGAGCCTGAGCCCTTCACTTCAAGAGACAGAAAGAGACACCTCCAGGCACCTGAACTCCCACCCCAGCAAGGGGCTTTGTTGGGGGTCAGGAGCACAGGAGCCCATGCCCCCCAACTGCTGGGGACCCAGGCTGCCACCCTTGGGGGCAGGGGATGAGGGGACCCCCTCCGGCCCCAAGGTCTGGAACAGGACCATGGCTGTGGGATGCAGCCAGGCCCTCCAAAGCCCCATCCTGGTTCTGTGCCACCTGGAGGTGCCCCTGGGAAGCCAGGAAGGGGGCAGGCTAACAGGCTGGGGCTGGCCTGTGCCATACCGCGGTGCTCCTGGTGCTGCGCGGTCTGGCCCGGGTGCCGTGGGCCGGGCTCTCCAGGCTCTCCAGGCGCTGGGTGAGAGCCAGCTTCTGCTGGATGGCCATGCGCAGCAAGGAGCTGAGCGTCTTCTTCTCATCCTCCGCCACGGCCAGCTGCCGCTGCATCTCGTCCAGCTGGGAGACGTACTGGTCACACCTGGGGGACACAGGGGGTCAGGCTGGGGGCTCCGCCCGCCCCGGCTCGGTCCCCTGTGGCTAGCCCCGTCCCCACCCAGCAGTCCTGCTTCCTGGCGGGCAGTTCCAGCCCTGTGCCCATCGGGGGCTCCCCTCACCGGCTGGCAAACATGGCGCGTAGGGAGGAGAAGGTGGTGGCGTCCTCCTTCAAGGCCTTCAGCTCGCGGCGCAGCTTGAGCATGGTGTCCGACACCAGGGCTTTCTCCCCCTCGTACTGCCCCTTCAGGTTGGAGAGCGCCACCTCCGCCGTCTGGGAGGAGATGGGGGTGAGAGCCGGGTGGGCCCATGCCCCCCCCCGCAACCCCACCCTCTGCCCTCTGGGGGGAGAGAGCCGGAGGGCCCGTGCCCCCCCCTCCAGCAACCCCACCCTCTGCCCTCTGGGGGAGACGGGAGGTGGGAGCTGGACGGGCCCGTGGCCCCCCCTCCCACAACCCCACCCTCTGCCCTCTGGGGGGAGAGAGCCGGAGGGCCCGTGCCCCCCCCCCCGCAACCCCACCCTCTGCCCTCTGGGGGGAGACGGGAGCTGGACAGGCCCGTGGCCCCCCCCCCGCAACCCCATCCTCTGCGGGGAGAGAGCCGGAGGGCCCGTGCCCCCCCCCCGCAACCCCACCCTCTGCCCTCTGGGGGGAGACGGGAGGTGGGAGCTGGACGGGCCCGTGGCCCCCCCCCGCAACCCCATCCTCTGCGGGGAGAGAGCCGGAGGGCCCGTGCCCACCCCCCGCAACCCCACCCTCTGCCCTCTGGGGGAGACGGGAGGTGGGAGCTGGACGGGGCCGTGGCCCCCCCCCCCCACAACCCCACCCTCTGCCCTCTGGGGGAGACGGGAAGTGGGAGCTGGACGGCCCGTGCCCCCCCCGTGCCCTCCCCCCCCCGCAACCCCACCCTCTGCCCTCTGGGGGAAGAGAGCCGGAGGGCCCGTGCCCCCCCCCCCCGCAACCCCACCCTCTGCCCTCTGGGGGAGACGGGAGGTGGGAGCTGGACGGGCTCGTGGCCCCCCCCCCCCAACCCCACCCTTTGCCCTCTGGGGGGAGACGGGAGGTGGGAGCTGGACGGGCCCGTGGCCCCCCCCCCCAACCCCATCCTCTGCGGGGAGAGAGCCGGAGGGCCCGTGCCCACCCCCCGCAACCCCACCCTCTGCCCTCTGGGGGAGACGGGAGGTGGGAGCTGGACGGGCCCGTGGCCCCCCCCCACAACCCCACCCTCTGCCCTCTGGGAGGAGAGAGCCGGAGGGCCCGTGCCCCCCCCCCCCCCCCCCCCCCCCCCCCCCCCAACCCCACCCTCTGCCCTCTGGGGGGAGACGGGAGGTGGGGCTGGCCCCAACCCCCCCTCTGCCCTCTGGGGGGGGGGCCGGAGGGCCCGTGGCCCCCCCCAACCCCACCCTCTGCCCTCTGGGGGAGACGGGAGGTGGGAGCTGGACGGGCCCGTGGCCCCCCCCCCCCAACCCCATCCTCTGCGGGGAGAGAGCCGGAGGGCCCGTGCCCCCCCCCCCCCCCCCCCCCCGCAACCCCACCCTCTGCCCTCTGGGGGAGACGGGAGGTGGGAGCTGGACGGGCCCGTGGCCCCCCCCTCCCACAACCCCACCCTCTGCCCTCTGGGAGGAGAGAGCCGGAGGGCCCGTGCCCCCCCCCCCGCAACCCCACCCTCTGCCCTCTGGGGGAGACGGGAGGTGGGAGCTGGACGGGCCCGTGGCCCCCCCCCCAACCCCATCCTCTGCGGGGAGAGAGCCGGAGGGCCCGTGCCCCCCCCCCCCCACCCCCCCCCCGCCCCCCCCCGGCCCGCCCCCCCCCCCCAACCCCACCCTCTGCCCTCTGGGGGAGACGGGAGGTGGGAGCTGGACGGGCCCGTGGCCCCCCCTCCCACAACCCCACCCTCTGCCCTCTGGGGGGAGAGAGCCGGAGGGCCCGTGCCCCCCCCTCCCGCAACCCCACCCTCTGCCCTCTGGGGGAGACGGGAGGTGGGAGCTGGATGGGCTCGTGGCCCCCCCCCCGCAACCCCACCCTCTGCCCTCTGGGGGAGACGGGAGGTGGGAGCTGGACAGGCCCGTGCCCCCCCCCCCCAACCCCATCCTCTGCGGGGAGAGAGCCGGAGGGCCCGTGCCCACCCCCCGCAACCCCACCCTCTGCCCTCTGGGGGAGACGGGAGCTGGACGGGCCCGTGGCCCCCCCCCCCCCCAACCCCACCCTCTGCCCTCTGGGGGAGACGGGAGGTGGGAGCTGGACGGGCCCGTGCCCCCCCCCATGCAACAAGGCAGTGTGGGGAGGGGAGAGCCGGATGGGCCCACACCTCCTGCATGCAATCCCCATCCCCCACCCACAGCCTCTGCCCTCTGGGAGGAGCTGGGGGGTGAGAGCCGGAGGGCCCACGCCCCCACGCATCCGGACACACCCACAGACGGCTGTGGAGACGGGGGTGAGAGCCAGCTGGGCCTGCAGCCCCCACCCCCACCCAGCCTCTGCCCTCTGGGGGGCGAGACCCGGACAAGCCCATGTCCCCGGACACGCCCACAGCCCCCCCATACAGACAGCCTCTGCATCTCGGAGTCAGTTGGGCCTGCGCCCCCCACGCACACAGCTCCCACTGCAGCCACAACCCTCCCCCCATTAGAGGAGATGGCTGACTGGATCCAGACAGGCTGCCCCAAGGTGCCCGGGGGCATGGACGAGCCCCCCGCAGCGCGCCCACCTGCTTGTTGGCCTTGAGCACAGTGCGCAGCGTGGCGATCTGCTCCCGCTTGGTGCTGAGCAGGGAGCGAAGCTTCATCACCTCTTCAGCCAGCACCTCCTTGTCCTGCTCCAGCTCGGCAGCGGGCAGGCCCTGCCCGGGGGGCCGCTGCTGCCACAGGACCAGCGCCCCCTGCAGGTGCCCCAGCTGCTCCCGCAGCACCACCGCCAGGTGGGAGACATTGAGGGGCTCCCCAGCGGGTGACTGGTCCTCACAGGGCCCCGCCCCTGGCTCCGGCTGGAGATGGGTCTTGCCCGCCGGCTCCCTCTTGCCCAGCAGCCTCCTGGTGCCGCGCCCGTCCCGGTAATAATCCAGCACCACCCGCTGCGGCGTCAGGCCACGCCAGGCGCAGACCTGGTGGTAGAGGGTGGCCAGTTCCTCCATCAGCCCCAGCAGCTCCTCCTGGGCCTGGGCCAGCCGGGCCTGCAGCTCCCCTGCCAGCTTCCGGGAGGCCCGCAGCTGCCCCTCCAGCTGCGCCACCAGGTCCTGCCAGGGCTGGGGCTCCGGGGATGCTGGCCTGGCCTTGAGCTGCTCCAGGAGGAGGCCATTGCGCTGCTGCTGATCTGTCAAGGCCACCCTGGCGCTGTCCAGCTGCCCCCGGGCCTCCTGCACATCAGCTGCCAGGCAGGCTTTCTCCCGGTCCACCTGCAGAGAGAGAAATGGCAGGCCTGTGAGCATGGGGTCTTGTGTGTTAGAGTGGCAGGGGTTGGGGGGCGGGGGGGCTGTGATGAAGCAGAACTGTTCTTAATGTTTCCTCTGAATACTGTAGGGATGCCTCAGTTTCCCCTAGGCATTTCATAAGTCTTTAGAGGGTGGGATAAGGCAGGGGGTGTAATGGTTGCAGAGCAAAGGGCCAGGGTCCATAAATGGTGACACTCTGTCTCCTGGCCACTGGTGGCCTGGGCCCTTCCCCCCTGCCAGGTGAGAGCTAAAGGGTTGGAGAACAAAGAGATCCGGTGCCCTCCTGGCCCGGGAAAGGGACAAAGCCCAGAGCAGGGGGGGCTGGAGGGAGTTTCAGTTTGGGGCTGGCTGGGGACATGGAGTGAAGGGCAGACGGGGTTGTCTGGCTCACTGCCCCCCAAAATGGACCCAGCTGAGGGGTCCTGTTCTCTGCACCTACAAGCTCTGTGTTAGACCCTGTTCCTGTCGTCTAATAAACCATCTGTTTTACTGGCTGGCTGAGAGTCCCGTCTGACTGCGGAGTTGGGGGGCAGAACCCTCTGGCCCCCCCAGGACCCTGCCTGAGCAGACTCGCTGTGGGAAGCGCCCGGAGGGGCAGAGGAGGCTGGAGGCTCCGGGGTCAGACCCAGGAAGGTGGAGCCGGGTGAGCTGTGTGTCCTGCAGACAGGCTGCTCCCCGAGAGGAGACTCCCCCAGAGTCCTGCCCGGCTACGTAGGAAGCAGATCCAGAGCATCGCCCGGGGACCCCTTGACAGGGGCTGGGAGCCAGAACTCCTGGGATCTCTCCCCAAACACCCTCAGAGGGTTGAGGAAGGGGAGCAAGGGGTTTCGTGGATTAGAGCAGGGGGCTGGGAGCCAGGACTCCTGGGTTCAATCCCCAATTTGGCAGAGATTGGCTGTGACCTTTGGCACACCTCTCTCCCCTCCCCCCGTTGTTCAAGTTCAGGGACTTGGTGTGTGAGCACTGCGCCAGGCGCCAGTCTCCATGGGGGGAAGGGGGCATACGGCACCCAGCACACGACGGGTGGGGGCTCCCGGGCCGTGTCTCCGAGTGCTGTGCGGGTTCGACGGGAAGCCAGAACAGCAGCGTTGTGGCTACCAAGCACAAGGGCGTGTTGTGGAAAGCCCCAGGGGGCTGGATGGTTACAGCACCGGCTTGCCAGGGGCTCGGAGATCTGCTGGGTACCAGAGACAACTTGGGGGAGGGGGCTCCGCAGAAGCCACGCCAGAGCTGGCATGGAGGCCTGGCGCAGCGTTAACCTGGCAGGGCCCACCAAGGGCAGCCACCAAGCGAGACAAGATGCGCTCTGCGGGGGGCCTGCTGCTGCAGGATGTGGGGTGTACCAGTGGCTTCCTGCCTTGCTCCACCCCCTCAGCAAGGGCGACCGCGCAGGCGAGAGCCAGCTGCGGGCGACGCTGGGAGACAGGCGGGACTCACTGCTGGGACCAAGCGCAAGGGATTCCCAGTTCACACCAGCTGTGACATTCCAGGGGCAAAATGGGTGGGGGCAGGGAAGGCTGCTTCCTGGTTACTGAAGTCTGAATGGCCTCATTAATGTGCAGAGAAGGGGGGTTGGCAATGAAGGGGTTAACTGATGACACGTTTCCCCCCCCCCGCAGCTGCTCCTGCCAATCGGGCTGCCCATTGCTCGTGGCTAGGCCTCTCTTCACCCACCTAATGGGCTCAGCCCTTCATCCACTCCTGGATCTGAACCGGGGTCGGGTGCAGGGCAGGAGACACCAGGCCACCCTCCCCTGGGAGCCCCTGGCACAAGACCCCCACCGCGAGGTGCTCAGCCGCCCCATACCCTGCCTTGAGCCTCCAGGCCCCCGCCCCCTAACACAAGATGCTCCGGGATCTTCCCTTACCCGGAACGGCTGGAACCCCGAGACCTGCCCCAAGCTACGCCCCAGGCCCTGCCCCCACCTTGAGGCAGCAAGAAACCCCCATGCCCCCACCCACAACCTGGAGCAGGCCGCGCCCCACTGACCAGAGCAGCAGGGAACCCCCCAGGCCCCGCCCCTGACCTGGAGCAGCTGCTGCCGCAGCTTGGGCGCCTCGGCCAGGCTGAGCTCACTGAAGAGGTCGGCGACGAGGCTGGGCGCAGGGCGGGCGTGGGGAGTGGACGCCCGCTCCCCGAAGTCCCCCACGCTGGCGCTGCCATTGGCAAAGCCGCTGTCCAGCTCCTCATCCTGGCTTAGCTCCTCCAGGCCGGCCTGCAGGCTGCCCAGCGAGCCGGGGCGGCCCCCGGTGCAGGCCGCCAGCTCCCGCCGCAGCTCCCGCCGCTGCTCCCGCTCCACCGCCAGCGTCTCCAGCACCTCCTCCAGCTGCCGCTCTGCCAGCTCCCGCAGCCGCCCCAGCTCCTCCAGCTGGGCTCCGGCCAGCACTGCCTCCTCATCCCGGCACCGCAGCTCGTGCTTCAGGGCCTCAAACTCCACCTGCCGGGGGGGCGTCAGGACTCCTGGGGTCTCCCCTCAGCTCTGAGAGGGCAGTGGGGGCTAGTGGGTTCGAGCAGGGGGCGCTGGGAGCCAGGACTCCTGGGTTCTCTCCCTGGCTCTGAGAGGGCAGTGGGGGCTAGTGGGTTCGAGCAGGGGGCGCTGGGAGCCAGGACTCCTGGGTTCTCTCCCTGGCTCTGAGAGGGCAGTGGGGGCTAGTGGGTTAGAGCAGGGGGCGCTGGGAGCCAGGACTCCTGGGTTCTCTCCCTGGCTCTGAGAGGGCAGTGGGGGCTAGTGGGGGCGCTGGGAGCCAGGACTCCCGGGTTCTCTCCCTGGCTCTGAGAGGGCAGTGGGGGCTAGTGGGTTAGAGCAGGGGCGCTGGAAGCCAGGACTCCTGGGTTCTCTCCCTGGCTCTGAGAGGGCAGTGGGGGCTAGTGGGGGCGCTGGGAGCCAGGACTCCCGGGTTCTCTCCCTGGCTCTGAGAGGGCAGTGGGGGCTAGTGGGTTCGAGCAGGGGGATGCTGGGAGCCAGGACTCCTGGGTTCTCTCCCTGGCTCTGAGAGGGCAGTGGGGGCTAGTGGGTTCGAGCAGAGGGCGCTGGGAGCCAGGACTCCCGGGTTCTCTCCCTGGCTCTGAGAGGGCAGTGGGGGCTAGTGGGTTCGAGCAGGGGGCGCTGGGAGCCAGGACTCCTGGGTTCTCTCCCTGGCTCTGAGAGGGCAGTGGGGGCTAGTGGGTTAGAGCAGGGGGCGCTGGGAGCCAGGACTCCCGGGTTCTCTCCCTGGCTCTGAGAGGGCAGTGGGGGCTAGTGGGGGCGCTGGGAGCCAGGACTCCCGGGTTCTCTCCCTGGCTCTGAGAGGGCAGTGGGGGCTAGTGGGTTCGAGCAGGGGGCGCTGGGAGCCAGGACTCCTGGGTTCTCTCCCCAAAAGCCCTCAGAGGGTTTAGGAGGGGAAGAAGAGTTAGCACAGGCCACATAAGCGGTTTCCTCGCCCTCTCCTGTCCCAAGTGAGGCACAATCAGCCCCTCCAGCACAGGGGCCCCAGGCGATCTTCCCGCCATCCCGAGAGGCTGGGGGCGAGTACCTGGTTGCCCTTGAGCAGGGACACCTGCTTCTGCAGGGAGATGTTCTCCTCCTCCAGCTCAGCGCAGTCCTGCAGCTGCCGCAGCTCCCGGCTCTTGTACTGCTTCAGCTCCTCCCGCAGCTGGGCCTTCTCTGCCTCCAAGGCCTGGCACTCCTGGGGTAAAGGGGCACCATTAATGCCCCCAAGGAGCACGAGAGGGCCCACCCAGGATCCCTGGGGGAAAGGAGAGAGCCCGGGGACCCAAGCTACGGCACAGCCCACCTCAGGGGCATCGCGGGCCCCGAGTGCTCACTGGCCTAAGGGGGGAGTTTGTGGGGGGGGGGGGGCGCAGAGACAGAACCTGCTGTAACACTTGGTATGAATCCTGCGTGCGCCTCACTTTCCCCAGCTGGTAACTAGGTGGTGGGGAAAGGCTGCTCGCTCTCGGGGAGGTGGGAATGGCACCTGGCTGTCCCAGGTTTGGGGCCCAGGCCAACATGTAGACAAGGCAAATCCAATCACCGGGCCATTTACTACCTAGCAACTAAGGACCACACACTCCCAGCCACTGCAAGCAGCAAGGGAACCAAGAGCTATGGGGGGGGAGGGGGGCAGGTGGGATGGGACAGAGGAGAGAGGGACAAAGCAGGAGCCAAGGGGACACCCTTTGGCTGGGCTCTGGGTGGCCAGGCCAGGCCAGGCCGTAACTTCCTGTTCTCTGCGCTAACCAAGGACCATCTACGCTGGGTCCAGACACCCAATAACCCCCTGCTGAGAGCCGCTGAAGGGGGCAGTGCTCTCTCTTGGGGTACAAGCCTCCCACAGGTCTCAGCGTAGCAGCCGTGTTAGTCTGTATTCACAAAAAGAACAGGAGGACTTGTGGCACCCGAGAGACTAACCAATTTATTTGAGCATGAGCTTTTGTGAGCTACAGCTCACTTCATCGGATGCATTTGGTGCAAAATACAGTGGGGAGATTTCTATACAGAGAGAACATGAAACAATGGGTGTGACCAGACACACTGTAACCAGAGCGATCCCTTAACGTGAGCGGTTACCAGTGGCAGAGCCGGAGGGGTGGGGGTGGGGGCTTTTGTAGTGATAATCAAGGTGGGCCATTTCCAGCAGTTGACAAGAATGTCTGAGGAACAGTGGGGGGGAGGGGGGGAATAAACATGGGGAAATAGTTTTACTTTGTGTAATGACCCATCCACTCCCAGTCTCTAGTCAAGCCTAAGTTAATTGTATCCAGTTTGCAAATGAATTCCAATTCAGCAGTCTCTCTTGGAGTCTGGTTTTGAAGTTTTTTGTTGAAGTATTGTCACTTTTAGGTCTGTAATCGAGTGACCAGAGAGACTGAAGTGATCTCCGCCTGGTTTTTGAAGGTTATAATTCTTGACGTCTGATTTGTGTCCATTTATTCCTTTACGTAGAGACTGTCCGGTTTGGCCAACGTACATGGCAGAGGGGCATTGCTGGCACATGTCACACTGGTAGACGTGCAGGTGAACGAGCCTTGGTAGCGTGGTTGATGTGATCAGGCCCTACGATTAGCCTCCCACAGGCGTCCCATTGAGGTGGGCTCGCTGCAGGGAGCGTCCAGCATGAGGCAGGAGTGCGGAAGGCTCTGAGGGTCAGTCCCAGGAGGCTGGGGAAGCCAAGGGGGAAAGAGGGCACAGGGGACCGCAGGGCACTCACCTGGCGCAGGCCCTGCAGGGCGGCGCGCAGCCGCTCGCTCTCAGCGCCCGCGTTGCTCAGCCGGCATTGCAGCTGCCGCAGCTCCCCCTGCTGCTCCCCCATGCGGGCTGCGAGCTGGGCCTCGCTGGCCGCAGCCTCGCGCACCAGGCTCTCCTCCCGGGTCTCCCCGGCCACCGCCGCCCGCCGGTGGCTGCTGTGGCACTCAGCCAGGGCCTGCCGGACGCAGGGCAGAGAGAGGTGACTGGGGAGGAGGTGTCCGTCACGCGACGTGCTCTGCAGAATGCTGGGTGCAATGGGCACACACAGGGCGCGGGGCCAGGGGAGGCTCCCCCGGCAGTGCCCAGGCTGACCCCATTCTGGGCACACACACACAGGGCGCTGGGCCAGGGGACGTGGGGGGCTCCCCCGGCGGTGCCCAGGCTGACCCCATTCTGGGCACACACACACAGGGCGCTGGGCCAGGGGACGTGGGGGGCTCCCCCGGGCGGTGCCCAGGCTGACCCCATTCTGGGCACACACACACAGGGCGCTGGGCCAGGGGACGTGGGGGGCTCCCCGGCAGTGCCCAGGCTGACCCCATTCTGGGCACACACACACAGGGCGCTGGGCCAGGGGACGTGGGGGGCTCCCCCGGCAGTGCCCAGGCTGACCCCATTCTGGGCACACACACAGGGCGCTGGGCCAGGGGACGTGGGGGGCTCACCCTAGTGGTAACTGGGCTGACCCTGTTCTGTGCCTGCCAGCCCCTTACCTCCTTCATTTGGGACAGCTCCGAGCTCAGCCCCTCCAGCTGCCCCTCCAGCTCCCCGCAGCGCTGCTTGAGCTCCCCGTTCTCCTCCAGCACCGCCAGCCCGTACTGGGCGGCCTGGACCTTCTCCTGCGTCGCCTCCTGCAGCTCGGCCGCCAGGCGCCCCACCTCCGCCTGCAGCTGGGCCAGGTCTGCGGGCGCTTTCACCAACTCCATAGTGGGCACCGGGCGGCAGGGCTGGGTCCCGGCGAGGGGCAGCGGCATGCCTGTGGGCAGGGACAGGCTGTAACCTCCTGCAGACACCACACACCTGTGCCCTAGCCCCCTCCCGTACGTGGCCCTGAAGTGGGGGGAGGGCATGGAAGCGGGGAGATGCAGACCTACCACTCCATGGGGAGGCAGGAGGGTGCAGGGGGAGGGGCAGGCGCCCTACCCCCAGGAGTGGGGGGGGAGGAGCAGCGACAGGGGGCAGAGGGCCCCCCCAGGAGTGGAGGGGAAGGGAGGCGAGGAGGGGCAGAGGGCCCCCCGGAGTGGGGGGGGGGAAGGGAGGCGAGGAGGGGCAGAGGGCCCCCCAGGAGTGGAGGGGAAGGGAGGTGACGAGGGGCAGAGGGGGGCCCCCGGAGTGGGGGGGAAGGGGAGGCGACGAGGGGGAGGGGCAGAGGGGGCCCCCCAGGAGCGGGGGGAAGGGCGGCGACGAGGGGGAGGGGCGGAGGGCCCCCTCGGAGAGGGGGGAAGGGCGGCGACGAGGGGCAGAGGGGGCCCCCCAGGAGCGGGGGGGAAGGGCGGCGACGAGGGGGAGGGGCAGAGGGGGCCCCCAGGAGCGGGGGGGAAGGGCGGCGACGAGGGGGGAGGGGCAGAGGGGGCCCCCCAGGAGCGGGGGGGGAAGGGCGGCGACATGGGGGGAGGGGCAGAGGGGGCCCCCAGGAGCGGGGAGCGGGGAGAGGGGCCGGGGCGGGGCCCCCCAGGAGCGGGGGGAGGGGAGGCGACGAGGGGGGAGGGGCAGAAGGGCCCCCCCAGGAGCGGGGGGAGGGGAGGCGACGAGGGGGGAGGGGCAGAGGGGCCACCCCAGGAGCGGGGGGAGGGGGAGGCGACGAGGGGGGAGGGGCAGAGGACCCCCCCAGGAGCGGGGGGAGGGGGCCGGGGCAGGGCCCCCCAGGAGCGGGGGGAGGGGCGGCGACGAGGGGGGAGGGGCAGAGGACCCCCCCAGGAGCGGGGGGGAAGGGCGGCGACGAGGGGGGAGGGGCAGAGGGGGCCCCCCAGGAGCGGGGGGAGGGGGAGGCGACGAGGGGGGGAGGGGGCAGAGGACCCCCCCCAGGAGCGGGAGAGGGGAGGCGACGAGGGGGGAGGGGCAGAGGGGCCCCCCCGGGAGCGGGGAGCGGGGAGAGGGGCCGGGGCGGGGCCCCCAGGAGCGGGGAGAGGGGAGGCGACGAGGGGGGAGGGGGCAGAGGGGGCCCCCCAGGAGCGGGGAGCGGGGAGAGGGGCCGGGGCGGGGCCCCCCAGGAGCGGGGGGAGGGGAGGCGACGAGGGGGGAGGGGCAGAGGGGCCACCCCAGGAGCGGGGGGAGGGGAGGCGACGAGGGGGGAGGGGCAGAGGACCCCCCCCCAGGAGCGGGGGGGAGGGGCCGGGGCAGGGCCCCCCCAGGAGCGGGGGGAGGGGCGGCGACGAGGGGGAGGGGCAGAGGACCCCCCCCCAGGAGCGGGGGGGAGGGGCGGCGACGAGGGGGGAGGGGCAGAGGGGGCCCCCCAGGAGCGGGGGGAGGGGCGGCGACGAGGGGGGAGGGGCAGAGGACCCCCCCAGGAGCGGGGAGAGGGGAGGCGACGAGGGGGGAGGGGCAGAGGGGGCCCCCCAGGAGCGGGGAGCGGGGAGAGGGGCCGGGGCGGGGCCCCCCAGGAGCGGGGGGGGGGGGAGGCGACGAGGGGGGAGGGGCAGAGGGGGCCCCCAGGAGCGGGGAGAGGGGCCGGGGCGGGGCCCCCCAGGAGCGGGGGGGGGGGGAGGCGACGAGGGGGGAGGGGCAGAGGGGCCCCCCCAGGAGCGGGGGGAAGGGCGGCGACGAGGGGGGAGGGGCAGAGGGGGCCCCCCAGGAGCGGGGAGAGGGGCCGGGGCGGGGCCCCCCAGGAGCGGGGGGAGGGGAGGCGACGAGGGGGGAGGGGCAGAGGGGCCCCCCAGGAGCGGGGGGAGGGGCTAACGGTCCCCGCGAGGCGGTTGGCTCTGCGGCTCCCCTCGCGGCCGCCCCCTGCCCCTCGGCGCTCACCCGGCCTCTGCTCCGCGGCCGCCGCCAGGCCCGGCCCGGCCCCGCCCCCCGCCTCTATATACGCCGCCCCGCCCCGCCCCGCCCCGTTTGAAATTCCTCGCGCGCCTCACGGAGCGCACGCCCCGTCCCTGTTCTGATTCGCCGGGCAGCACCTCATCCCGCCCCCTTCCCCCTCTTCCGATTGGTCGCTGCCTTTCTTTCTCTCAGCCGATAGGCCGAGCTCTTAAGTAGCCCCGCCCCGCGCCGCCCCGCCCCGCCACGCTTTGCGTGCTTGGCCGCCTTGCAGCCTCTACAGCACCTCCTTCTCATTCGATTGGACGAGCTCCGTCTAGCCACGCCCTTCCTCTCTCCGGGGTCTCTGATTGGTCGTTTTCTCCCATCCTTCCCGCCTAACCCACGAAGCGCGAGGCTTCCCCAGGGCTTCGTCTCCTGATTGGCTGGAGCTTCCCTTCGCCCCTCCAGACCCGCCCATTAGTCGGAGGAGGTCGAGAAGCTCTGGATTGACAAGGCCAAAGCCAATGGGAACGAACCTCCTTGGGGCTGGCCCTCTGCCATTGGCTCGGAGATAGCCAGAGGGGCCCGCGCTTCCCTCTGCCGCCCTGCGGTGGGGGGGCAGGGGAAGAGCCGCCAAACATATCCCCCAGGAAACGCCCCCCGCCCAGGGGCTGATGGGAGCGACGCCAACGGCCCTGGCCCCAGGGGTTGATGGGAGCGACGCCAACGGCCCTGCCCCAGGGGCTGATGGGAGCGACGCCAACGGCCCTGCCCCCGGGGCTGATGGGAGCGACGCCAACGGCCCTGCCCCAGGGGTTGATGGGAGCGACGCCAACGGCCCTGCCCCCGGGGCTGATGGGAGCGACGCCAACGGCCCTGCCCCAGGGGTTGATGGGAGCGACGCCAACGGCCCTGCCCCCGGGGCTGATGGGAGCGACGCCAACGGCCCTGCCCCCGGGGCTGATGGGAGCGACGCCAACGGCCCTGCCCCAGGGGCTGATGGGAGCGACGCCAACGGCCCTGCCCCAGGGGCTGATGGGAGCGACGCCAACGGCCCTGCCCCCGGGGCTGATGGGAGCGACGCCAACGGCCCTGCCCCAGGGGTTGATGGGAGCGACGCCAACGGCCCTGCCCCCGGGGCTGATGGGAGCGACGCCAACGGCCCTGCCCCCGGGGCTGATGGGAGCGACGCCAACGGCCCTGCCCCAGGGGCTGATGGGAGCGACGCCAACGGCCCTGCCCCCGGGGCTGATGGGAGCGACGCCAACGGCCCTGGCCCCGGGGCTGATGGGAGCGACGCCAACGGCCCTGCCCCCGGGGCTGATGGGAGCGACGCCAACGGCCCTGCCCCCCGGGGCTGATGGGAGCGACGCCAACGGCCCTGGCCCCAGGGGTTGATGGGAGCGACGCCAACGGCCCTGCCCCAGGGGCTGATGGGAGCGACGCCAACGGCCCTGCCCCCGGGGCTGATGGGAGCGACGCCAACGGCCCTGCCCCAGGGGTTGATGGGAGCGACGCCAACGGCCCTGCCCCAGGGGCTGATGGGAGCGACGCCAACGGCCCTGCCCCCGGGGCTGATGGGAGCGACGCCAACGGCCCTGGCCCCAGGGGCTGATGGGAGCGACGCCAACGGCCCTGGCCCCAGGGGCTGATGGGAGCGACGCCAACGGCCCTGCCCCCGGGGCTGATGGGAGCGACGCCAACGGCCCTGCCCCCGGGGCTGATGGGAGCGACGCCAACGGCCCTGGCCCCAGGGGTTGATGGGAGCGACGCCAACGGCCCTGCCCCAGGGGCTGATGGGAGCGACGCCAACGGCCCTGCCCCCGGGGCTGATGGGAGCGACGCCAACGGCCCTGCCCCAGGGGTTGATGGGAGCGACGCCAACGGCCCTGCCCCAGGGGCTGATGGGAGCGACGCCAACGGCCCTGCCCCCCGGGGCTGATGGGAGCGACGCCAACGGCCCTGGCCCCAGGGGCTGATGGGAGCGACGCCAACGGCCCTGCCCCCGGGGCTGATGGGAGCGACGCCAACGGCCCTGCCCCCCGGGGCTGATGGGAGCGACGCCAACGGCCCTGGCCCCAGGGGTTGATGGGAGCGACGCCAACGGCCCTGCCCCAGGGGCTGATGGGAGCGACGCCAACGGCCCTGGCCCCAGGGGTTGATGGGAGCGACGCCAACGGCCCTGCCCCAGGGGCTGATGGGAGCGACGCCAACGGCCCTGCCCCCGGGGCTGATGGGAGCGACGCCAACGGCCCTGCCCCAGGGGCTGATGGGAGCGACGCCAACGGCCCCGCCCAGGGGCTGATGGGAGCGACGCCAACGGCCCTGCCCCAGGGGCTGATGGGAGCGACGCCAACGGCCCTGCCCCAGGGGCTGATGGGAGCGACGCCAACGGCCCCGCCCAGGGGCTGATGGGAGCGACGCCAACGGCCCTGCCCCCCGGGGTTGATGGGAGCGACGCCAACGGCCCTGGCCCCAGGGGCTGATGGGAGCGACGCCAACGGCCCTGCCCCAGGGGTTGATGGGAGCGACGCCAACGGCCCTGCCCCAGGGGTTGATGGGAGCGACGCCAACGGCCCTGGCCCCAGGGGCTGATGGGAGCGACGCCAACGGCCCTGCCCCCGGGGCTGATGGGAGCGACGCCAACGGCCCTGCCCCCCGGGGCTGATGGGAGCGACGCCAACGGCCCTGGCCCCAGGGGTTGATGGGAGCGACGCCAACGGCCCTGCCCCAGGGGCTGATGGGAGCGACGCCAACGGCCCTGCCCCCGGGGCTGATGGGAGCGACGCCAACGGCCCTGCCCCAGGGGTTGATGGGAGCGACGCCAACGGCCCTGCCCCAGGGGCTGATGGGAGCGACGCCAACGGCCCTGCCCCCGGGGCTGATGGGAGCGACGCCAACGGCCCTGGCCCCAGGGGCTGATGGGAGCGACGCCAACGGCCCTGCCCCCGGGGCTGATGGGAGCGACGCCAACGGCCCTGCCCCCCGGGGCTGATGGGAGCGACGCCAACGGCCCTGGCCCCAGGGGTTGATGGGAGCGACGCCAACGGCCCTGCCCCAGGGGCTGATGGGAGCGACGCCAACGGCCCTGGCCCCAGGGGTTGATGGGAGCGACGCCAACGGCCCTGCCCCAGGGGCTGATGGGAGCGACGCCAACGGCCCTGCCCCCGGGGCTGATGGGAGCGACGCCAACGGCCCTGCCCCAGGGGCTGATGGGAGCGACGCCAACGGCCCCGCCCAGGGGCTGATGGGAGCGACGCCAACGGCCCTGCCCCAGG